CATAAACATGACACTACCCCCGGGGTTTACACAGACGAGCCGGCGAAGCAAGAAGAGCGCCAGAAGAAAGGGCCCTAGCCGGCGGGGCCCAGCCAGGACAAAAGGAGGTCCCACAAAGCGCCTACACCGGCCGCATTTGCGGTCGGGGTAGACGACGGATGGGGCCCACCTACGAAGGCTGTCCAGGCCTACACGAGATGAGGCAGGATAAAGAGGGATAATCCCCCTCGATCCCAAATCATTGAGGCCAATTTCTAGCCATAGAATAATGGCGGCGGTCCGTATTCCGTAATCCGTAAAAGACCGTGGTCCGAGTCCGAGTTGTCCGAGTGGTCGTTCCTTAGACTATATTTACATGGAGGAAGCACCGCGTGTTAAAAAGTGTAGACTTTATAGAAAGAAAGAGCAATAGTTTGGGTCCTCACTCTCTCTTAATTACTCATCAACTACCGACCCATTACTACACAATTGGCATTTCCGACTTCCGTTGAGGAAGTAACAAAATGGCCATTTCTACGATTGCGCGTCGGATCTCGCACTTCTGCTTCAGCGATTAGTATTTTTATGTATGTGACTTTCTTACATGTATATCTTATCTATGTATGTGACCAAGTCTCCATGGTATGTGATATGGACGCATCACTAAACCGTGACCGTGTTTTATTCACCTAGATCTCAACCAATTTCAGTTATCCTGAACCTGAACGTCAATTAGGTTTAGGACTATTGTCATTGTCCTGAATGTTGATTGGTCAATACACAGACCACCTAGACTGGCTTATAGAGCGACTTTGGTGGAAACACTTTGGAGCCTGATTTGGAACCCAGCGCTCAGTCGTGTCCTAGCATTTGACGTGTACGCATCGCTGTGATTTCGATAATTAGACGTGGGCAAGTGTATTGCAAAACATTGTATAAATAGAAGTAATCGAGTTGGTGAAGAGAGGCAAAAAGTTTCCTTCTTTAGGTAAGTAAAAAAAGGAATATATAAAGGGTAAATATGTACGCCATTTTTCGGTTAACGTCACAAGTTTCCAGGGTTAGCTTTATAATTTTGTTCGCCCACATAGTGTAGTGATTAGCGTGATATTGTTATTATAAAATAATGAATGAATTACTGTAAAATATTTTTAGTAATTATTTACTTTATGCGAGTCTTAAATTTTTATGAAATTTTACCAATTCCCGTCATTTCGAGATAGCTGAAAATTAATTAAATATTTTTTTCAATTAAAAAAATCTCGAACAAAACTAATTTCAGATTCAGTATTCGTACAGTCAATTAATTTTTATTAAAGATCGTGGTTGTTTGACGTATCCATCTCGAGATGTCGTAGTAATATGCTAAGAAACATAAACATTAATAAAATTATTAAATAATGATGAAAGCTGAACACCTAGGCTACAGAAAAATAAAATTGTTTATCATGTATTAAAAAACTTTCTGAATGTGAACATATTTGAAAATTTGCATGAACATCAATTTGATAATTTGCCTAACAATTGTAATCATTTAATAGAACTTATAAGGGCTGAATGCGAAAAGTATATCGATGTACGAATCATGAAGTCAAATTATTTAATTCCGTAAAATCTACGAAAAGGCAAATATTAAATAAATTAATATTATTTAGGGGACAATAAATATATTTAAATTATTTTGTAGTTTTATTTAATATGACACTAAAATATACTATTTTCTGAATTACAAACTTAAAATTGAATATTTGTCATAAGATACAATATAATATTTAATATGTAATAAAAATATTACTTAATACGCGCCGCGCCATTATTCCATGGCTAGAAATTGGCCTCAATGATTTGGGATCGAGGGGGATTATCCCTCTTTATCCTGCCTCATCTCGTGTAGGCCTGGACAGCCTTCGTAGGTGGGCCCCATCCGTCGTCTACCCCGACCGCAAATGCGGCCGGTGTAGGCGCTTTGTGGGACCTCCTTTTGTCCTGGCTATGCGGTTTGCTAAGGTGGCCCTTAGGCTAGCGCGGGGGAGGAGGGGTAAGGAGGGTATGGGGGGGTGTGTATGTGTGTGTGTCGTTGTCTTCGTTTCTTGATCCTGGCTGTCTCTGAAACAGAAAAGGTTAGCACCCAGCGTCAAAAAGTTGGTGTCTAGGTCTTTTGTGTTTGTCGGTCACGTCGGGTACGTAGTCAACGGCTTGCCTGAGGAGGGGATTGTCATGTCTAGCGGCTACGTCAAACCGTTTCTCCGCGTTTTGTCTTATTGTCTGTGTAGCGTTTGTGTATTTTAAGTCTCGTAATATGTCAGTGTTTCTTACGTACCAGGGCGCGTCGGTGGCCGTGCGGAGGGCTATGTTTTCCACAGCCTGTAATGACTTTAAGTGGCTTTTTGCCGCGTGACCCCACGCCGTGGAGGCGTAGGTTAGCTGCGGTTGAAGTACCACCTTGATAAGCGTTCGCTTATTCCTTAAACTGAGGGTGTTCCCACCTTTGAGTAAGGGATAGAGCCTAGCCCTGGTGGTCTTCGCTCGCGCCACCGTCTCCACGATGTGCGGTTTCCACGTGAGACGCTGGTCCTTCGTCACGCCCAGGTATCGTGTTTGTCGATTCCAGGAGATGGGTTCCTGGGATAGTGTCAGTCTGTCAGTTTTGTGGGATTTTTCGTTTGGTAAAAAGGATAGCCGAACTTTTGTTGGGATTAATTTTGACTTTTCACCTGTTGCACCAGGTTTCAAGTTGGTCTAAGGAGCTTTGGAGGAGGTAGACGGAATATCTAGGATCTACGGATTGGGATGTGATTGTCAGGTCGTCGGCGTATAAGTATATGTTGGTGTTGGGGGGATGTGGGATGTCGGAGTTGTAAATGGTGTATAGGTGTGGAGACAGGACGGTGCCCTGGGGGACACCGGCCTCCATGGGACGGGTGGTGGAAAGGGAATCTTGGATTTGGATGCGGAATTTTCGGTGGTGTAGGTAGGATTTTATGAGTTTGGTAAAGGATATGGGATATTGGATGGTGAGCATTTTCATCAGTAGGCCTTCATGCCTAGTCTTAGTTCGATTGCCTTCCACACTCCACTTCCCCGGATTTTGCATTCACTGGTACCCGTGCATTGGAATTAGATACGGCCAGTCTAGGTGGTTTGTGGTCAATTAGAAGAATTGTATTATATTTTCAGTATTTGGCAGTACTGCATGTCGATTTTTTAAAAGCTTTTGAATTGCGCGCACATTTCGCCGATAATCTCTGAAGGTATTTAAATTTAATATTTATTTATTAGATTTTAGGTTAGAAATTTTTTATTTGTATTTGATTTAAACATCTCAGTTAATTGTAGGTCATTCGTAAATATGACCAATAAAGATAAAATAGTAACATTTGACGACATGAAGATACTTGAAAACAAAGACGATGTCCTCATTATAGATGTACGGGAACCAAGTGAAATACAAAAAACTGGCAAAATTGGAGGAAGTATCAACATACCCTGTAAATATAGTCGCACTTTTCTATTATCTTAATAAAATAACATTTGGTTTTAGTAAACGAATTAGAAAAGGCTTTGAAAAACATAAATGAAGATGAATTTAAAGGGAAATATGGAAAGCCGAAGCCCATTGAAAGCTTTCCTTTAATTTTTTCTTGCATGTTGGGGGGCAGAGCTGCTAAAGCTTTAGCTTTAGCAGAAAAACTTGGTTTTAATGAGTAAGTGAATTTATAAATATGCTACATTATTATGCAGTGGATATCTTCTTTTTTAGTGTTCGATATTATAAAGGAAGCTGGAAAGAGTGGGAAGAAAAGTTAAAACAAAATTAATCATTCACTATTTTAACATTTATCTCATACTTTTTCATACATATATTCTGTGATTAGAACTGAACATATTAAAAATGTCAAGGTCAGTCAATTTTAACCTATAAACTTAGATTGTAATTCCTAGTATAAAGCAGTGTACAGTGTACTTCCTTGTATATCGTTTGAACGCATTTTTAATATATGTTATGATAATATCTGCGTTTTTCTTGAAATATAACTAATGATAGTATTCTCATCATTATTAATTAAAAGTAACTTATTACGAACTTTTACAATTTTGAAACGTAAAATGTTACCGAAACAAGGAAAAACTTATCAGGTAGGCTCCTTCATAGGCTCTTTCTAACAATTTGTTGATATATTTTAATTATATTACTAGGATGCTATAGCTACCTTAAATAGTCTGCAGACTAACTCTCAGTATCTGAAAAATGCTGTCGTTAAACCTAAAGCTGAAACTAACCTAGCAGAAGTAGAAAAGTTTTTGAATAGGTAAGGATTTCCATTGTGTTTCACACCATCACTAAAAATACTACCTATTTGTTGAACCACAGAACAAGTTTACCACTTGATGATTTAAATAAACTATCCGTTATACACATTGCCGGAACCAATGGCAAAGGAACCACTTGTGCTTACAGTGAAAACATTCTTCGAAATCATGGTTTTAAGACGGGATTTTATTCATCTCCACATTTATTAGATGTTAGAGAAAGGATACGTATTAATGGAAAACCAATTTCAAAAAAAACATTTGCCTTACATTTCTGGAAAATATACGATTTGCTAGACAAACAAAAGGTATACTAATGAACATTTTGTAAAATATCACCTGGCTTAAATTACAAATCAAAATATACAGGGTATCCCGAAATAAGAAAATCGAAGCATATATTAGAACCTTTCTTCAGAAAGTAAATTTTTGTGCTTATTCCAGGACATTCTGCATAAAATTTGATGCACTCTTTTATTTAAAGTTTAGACATTAAAATGTGTTTTTCAGACAGATCCCGGGGACATGCCTTTGTACTTTAGATATCTGACAATACTCGCATTTCATATATTTTTAGAGCACAAAGTGGATGTAGCTATAGTAGAAGTTGGTATCGGTGGTGAATATGATTGTACTAACGTTTTAAGGTAAAAAATTATTGCATTATTTATATTTATTCAGATACAAAGCTCGGCTTCATGGAAGCCCTAGTATAGTATTTTTATAGTTAAGTAGTTTCAGATACGTGCATTGTAAATATTTTAATAAGTAGTTTATTTTTAAGGAAAAGTCAGGTTGTGGGTATAACACCTTTAGATTTCGATCATACTTCGTTACTGGGACATTCCATGGAGTCCATAGCATGGAACAAAAGTGGTATTATGAAAGAAGGGAGTATAGCATTTACTACAGAACAACCAGAATCAGCTTTGAAAGTTCTGAGAGAGAGAAGTTTGGAAAAAAAAGTAAAAATCTGATGTGAAGTTTAGTGTACATCCTGAATAATACATATTTTATTTTAGTGCGACTTAAAAGTAGTGGAAAACAATTATTACAATTACGAAAATAAGTCAAATTTTCCATCGCATATCCAGAGAACAAATGCCAGCCTGGCTTTAGCCATATGCGAAGCTTATATTAAAAGAGGTACTTTATGTTTATTTATCTTTTAGGTCCAGTCAAACAAATAAAACTATCATTGACATAGTTGTTTTCAAGATTTTTAAGTAATGTTTCACTTTTATTTTCTTCTGAAACGATCTAAAAAATTACCACAAAGTAAGAGTACTTATTTTTTTTTAAATCGAACGGACAATATATTTATGAAAAAGGATATTTTGATGTAGTCACCTTCAATTTCAATGCACTTTGTGAACCAAGGGATGAGTTTTTTGATACATTCGTCAAAAAAATCTCCTGCCGCCTTTCGGGCCCATTTTTCATGGCCTCATCGTCGGTAGAAAACATTTTTCCACCCATAAACACCATCAGAGAAAAGAAAAAATTAAAATCGTAAGGTGCCAGGTCAAGGCTGTGAGTGGGCTGGTTGATGATGTTCCGATCGAATGAAGAGTTTCTTTGCGGTGTTGTCATGCAACGTCTCTTCATTAACATTTCTCTTCATTTGTTGTGTATCACCCTCTGTAGTGTTTCCAGGGCTTCACAGTACCATACAGCGTTAATTGTCCCCCCCCCCTACAAAAAGTTAATGAGAAGAATCCCTTTATGGTCCCAAAACACAGTTACCATGATTTTTCTCTTTTGTTCATCATGAACATTCATTCTGCCAGCTTTATACCCATTTCACCACTTGTATGCCTTAGTAGATTCATCACACCATCCCCAGAAACAATTTTGATTTCATTAAAAATCTGAAATGGCGACTTTCCCTTTGCAAAAAGAAACTGTATTACGTTCCTCACCTCGCAGTTGGCAGGATGCAGAATAGTGGAATTCATTTCAACATGCCACTACAACAACAGTTCCCAACTGACTGAACAAATGGAATGTACATTCTCTCCTAACATCTTGGCCTCGAATGCAGTTAACAACTTTGTCAAAAACAAAAACCATAGAGCCTCAGTACTCTTACTTTGTGGATATGCCTCGCACTTATTTTGATTCTTATAATCAATTCAAGGTAATAAACCACAAAAAATGTTTTCCATGGAAATAGCAAAAAATGCTATAGAGGATACGTATTGGCCAGGAAGGTATGAAATTAAAGACTTAAATAAAATAAGGTATAATGTAGAAGAAAAATTGGGGATCGACTCACAAAATATGTGTTTGTAGATTTTTCTTAGATGGAGCACACACTATTGACAGCATGAGAATATGCACCAATTGGTTTAGAGAAAAAACCTTAAATTCATGCAGGAAAAGGGCATTAATATTCAATCTTACAGGCGACAGATTATCTGATACATTTTTTAAAGAATTATGTAAACTCACGTTCAACATTGTTATTTTTTCTCCAAACGTGAGTAGCGAGAAAGATGTGCCAGGTTAGTAAACAGTATTTTATACTGATGCAATGCAATCGTGTCTCTGTCAATTCTGTACTAAACATTTTTTAAATTTGATCACTGCTTTTCCATAATTTAATGAAGGGCTAATTGTTTTTTAACTATTCCTTACTGATGTAATAGCTTTTACCTACAAAAATTTCTTTCAATTTTCACATTAGGCATGATTTCGTTTAATTAAATTTAATTTTTTTTTGCAATTCCATAGAAATATACAGGGTACAATTTTAAGAGGGGGTCAGTTTTTTAAGGGCTATAGTACGTGTTCCCTTGATTACGAATCTGAATTTTTTTTTAATCAAAGTCGTTATAATAATTTTTTAAAATGCACTCTAATTCTTGTGTACGCCGCCACTGTGTTACATATACATGAATTATAGGCAACCTACAGTATGTGTAAAGGGAGATAGTGCGGGTCAACGGTGACGAAGCGAAGGGGGTCAGTTGTTGTTCCGCATTTGGAGACAATACCTACATCTAACTGTGAATTACTGTTTTCTCAGACTTGTCATGATTTCTTTGTATTTGTGTAAGTCTAGGGTTATTTTATGTTTTATGGGGCCTTTGGTAATGTCAGTCAAAATTAGAAAAAATAAATTGAAAATAGTGCGTTTTCCGAATAGTGGTCAAATGTATATCTTTTGAAATACACCAGACCAATAATTTGTTTTCAGATAATACAGATTTGATATCAACGCCGGATAAACAATTGCAACGTTGTAACCAGTTCAAGGAAAAGTGGTTGAAAATGGAAGAAAGCGTAGAGAATAAAGCCGACAGCATTTTGGTCTTTCCTTGCTTTTCTGAAGCAATAAAATGTCTCGATAAGGGAATCGAGTACGATGTCTTGGTTACTGGTTCTATACATTTAATAGGTGCGGCCATGGCTGTCATTGACCCTACACTTAACGGTACACTGGTTGATTAACCCCCAGCATGTGGCAAATTAGAATTCCGGTTTTATTTATTTTATTGTGTTATCATGACATTTCTAAATCTAATTAAAGGTTACTCGTCATATACAATAAATACCATTTATTTTCTTTTTTAATGATTAAAATTTGTTTATATTTTTATATATTTAGGATATGTGTATAATAAAAACTAATTCATAATTACGTGTTTTATTGATATTTTATTGAAGGTTTTTGAACGTCATCATAAGAATTTACTACAAGTGTGATGTGATCAAAATTTTAGGAACTATTTATTTAGACCTGAATGAAATTTCAGACGTACAAAGAGGGACCCCAAAAAAAACTTGATGGCGCTTCTCCTGCTTCATGGGTGTTACGTAACCCCTCCCTAGTTAGTCTACTAAGTGGCGTCGCTTGAGACGTTTGCAGCGAGTCTCCGAGACAGTTTTTGTGCGATGACATCGGACTGCCACATCTAGAATTGATGAAAAGTGGAAAAAATTTGCACGTTTGGGTATAAGAATAGAAGGAGTACTATTGATATACTTGCTGAATTATTTAGTTTTCATGGAGAATGCATTTTAGTCAAAGATTTGCAAATGAGATGAATCGAGGGGAAATTCGCCCCCGCTTGTTGACTTCTGATCAAAAGTGCAAGCGTCATTAAAATGAATCCAAAAAAAATTTGGTCTTTTGTCAATAACAAAATAGAAGTCTTTGAGTTATTTAGAAAATACTTTCAAGGTGTTTTTCTTCAATCCGATAATACCTTTGATGATAACTGGGACTTCCACATCGATATCAATATGCCCACTGTTTTCATCAATGAGTTTTCTGAAAATGACGTTATTAATTCTATAGGCAAACAAAAACAAAATGACCTGTGGACCTGATTTAATTCCTAGTTTTTTCGTTAAAGACTGCGCTCATGTTTTAGCATATCCGCTACATATAATATTCAATTTGTCACTACGTTCTGGAATATTTCCCGATGTCTGCAAGACTGCTAGCGTGTGCCCTAGACTAAAAAGTGGAGACCCGTCTTGCATACAAAACTACAGACCTATTATGCTTCTATGTAATTTTGCAAAAACCTTTGAAATTTTGCTATATAACCACATGTATCCACATTTTAAAAACATAATTTCACATGATCAGCATGATTTCATGGAAAAGAGATCTACTGACACAAATTTCATTTGTATGACTCAATATTTGTCAAGTGTAATAGATAAACAAGGCCAAGTCGTGTTATCTACATGGATTTTTCAAAGGCTTTGATTGCGTAGATCATAAAATATTATACAAATTAGCTAGTTACGGGTTCACTGCTACTACAGTAGAGTTATTGAAATATTACTTGTCCAACAGTTTTAACTATGTCACCTACAACGGCTATAAATCGGAACTTTACCCTAGTATGTCAGGTGTCCCTCAAGGGTCCAACATGGGACCGTAACTCTTTTCTTTATTTGTTAATGATCTCAACAATTGTATTACCTGCAACAAGTTGTTTTTTGCCGACCATTTGAAAATATATTCACCTACACAGCTTACATGACTGCACATTTCTTCAGAATGAGTTAAACAAGCTTGTTTCACAGTGGTGCATTTCTAATAACCTAAACTTAAATATTTCGAAGTGTAAGGTAATATCAAACACGCGGAAAGTAAATTCCATTCTTTTTTATTACAATGTAGATGCCCAAGCTTGCAACTAAAGACTTGGGTGTATAACCACCATAACCATAAATCCGCAAACTATAAATTAAGTTTCTCTGAACACATTCAACAAACCCTTTCTACTTCCTTAAAACGATTGGGGTTTGTGATAAGACGAGGTAAAATTTTTACATTCACTTCTGAGTAACGATATCGACTGTCTCCAAATTCTAAACTCCTTAGACTTTTTAGCAAACAGATCAGCTAGTCTCATGTATATAATGTAATTACAACAAAATATGTACCTAACGACATTGCTTTAAATGACATATTGGATGTAACGATGGAATTTTGATGTCCGGATTAATCCTATAGAAATACCATATTACAAATATCATTTACTACAACATCGTTTACGACATCTCGTATTTACCGACACGTTTATATATACATTTACCATAGAATCTATCGGTTACAACGACCAATGGTGATGTACAGCCTTAAAACCAATGCACCGCTCTTCCGCCCGCCGCACCGTGCCGGCATCCACGCTTTCGACACCAGTTAGTACTTTTGGGACAAATTACGCTCTATCTACTCATACAGTTATATGTATTAATTACCACTTTCTATCACGATGTCGAAGAGAAAAGTGGTTAATAAAGAAGAAAAATCACATATACGAGGGCGAATGAAATATAAACCGGAATTATTTTCCTACCGATAGTGAAGTGAACAAAGAGGGGCGTGACATCTAAGGTTTACTGGCGGGGATGCCTAGTGGATTTTGCACAGATATAGAACGATACATTACCTCAGTAATTATCGCGATGTCTGAGCGAGAAGTACCGTCATCCGTTGCGCAACGTATTATAGTTAAATTTCTTACGAAAGAACGAAATTTTGAGAAGACTTCAGGCACAGTTCAGGGATAATACACCTAAAAAGACACAAGTGTATTTGTGGTACAAACAATTTTTAGAAGGGCGAGAAGCTGTTGAAAAGGAAGGTCACCAACGATGACCAAGAACCAGCGTGACTGAGGAGAACATTCATACCGTTCGCCGACTTCTAGAGGACAACCGATGATTAACAGTAGCTGAAATTGCTTCTGAGCATCAGCTTTGGCAGTGTTCAGACGATTATTACTGACGACCTCGGGTTTCGGAAAGTGTCTGCAAGGTGGGTACCTCATCTTTTGACTGAAAATCAAAAATGGAATTGTATGGAAGTGTGCTAACGGCATTTGAACCGCTATGAGGCTAAAGGTGAAGGTTTTTTGCACCAGATAGTGACTTGTGACGAAACTTGGGTGCACCATTACACCCCAGAATCGAAGCAAGCAAGTATGGAATGGCGAACGAAGCATGAATCTGCACTTGTCAAAGCCAAAACTTGGCTCTTGGCTGGGAAGGTTTTGGCGACTGTATTTTTTGAAGGAGTCCTACTTATTTACTTTCTCCATGAACGCTGAACTGTAAATGCCGCATACTACTGCCAACTTTTAAATGATGCAAAAATGGCATATCGTCAGAAAAGACGCAGTTTTCCCATAAGAGATGTTATCCTGCTGCAAGACAATGCCCGGTCCTGGTAAGCTGCCTTAACTATGGAGAAAATTAAAACATTGTCGTGGACTACACTGGAACACCCTCCCTACAGTCCGGACTTATCGCCCTGCGACTACCACCTGTTTAGATCGATGAAAGAAGCTCTTGGAGAACGTTTTGTTGATGATATTGCAGTTGAAGATTTCGTGCGCAATTGGCTTATGGTGCAACCATCTTCGTTTTACGAAATTGGAATAACAAAATTACCCATCCGTTGGGAAAAATGTGTCACGAAATCAGGAGATTACGTAGAAAAATAATTTTAAGCGTTTATATTTTTATCATGTCCCAATAAAGTTTTAAAAAATAATTCCCGTTTATATTTGATTCACCCTCGTAATATATAGACTAGACGGAAAAACTAAAGCAAGTATAGCAAAAGAATCTACGATTTCAACTATCTGGAAGGATAGAAATTAAATAATCCCTATTCGAAAACAATTCAATGAAAATGAAGCTCACAAGATCTTCTGAACACAAAGCAATACATGTACATACTTAAAGACTTTTTTAATAAAAATTTTAAATAAAATAAATGTAATTGTTTATTAAGTCTATCGGTTATAACAACTGTAAACAAAGGGTGCCTTGAAGGTCGTTATAACCGATTTTCACTGTAGTCGTCGTGTGAAAACTGTCTCAGGGGCTCGCTACAACTGTCTCAAACGACGCCACTTGGGTCCCCCTCATGTTGTGTAATAAAAAAAATATTAAACCTTATTCCAGTTCTTCAAAATGTGACATAAATGAAAGGTTTTAATTATTGCTCAGCTGGTCTCATTGGATTTCGTCGAATTTTTCACATTAAGACTGCGAAACATGCTGTAATATATTTTTTATTAATCAAAAAATATACAAGAGATCCTTTTTGGTGAAATTACATAAAAAAACTAAGTTATTATTTGCAATTTTCTCTTCAGTATTAGAAAATATACATAATAACACGGTAAAAAGTAGATATAGTTATATTCTACGATGAATAAGTATTACATGACCAGAATTACGTTAATGACTAATTTTCACATTTGGTAGGTATTATTTATATCAAAATCCACATCAGATTCTAATTCGTTTTCAGATAAAGATAGCGATCCTCCTGCTCTTCGTATATGCTTTTTCTCCTATAAAAAAAAAGAAAAATTTTGCGTAATATAACACTTTACGGTGAATACATGTAATGCAAAATTTTTATTTGAGACATTAAAGAATGTCGTTTTTACGAACCGAACAAAAAAAAATTGCTTGTCGAAAGATGTTCCCTAAAAAACTTTTCATTTTAAAATAGACACTATAGTTATAAAAATATATGCAGAGTTTCCAGCTATAATTATTTCTGATTAGAGCGTAAACTAAATTTTGACCAAAAAATACCCCTTTCTCTTGTATTTTATGACACACACATCAAAAAAATAAACTAATACCCACGAGATATCAACTTACTTCCAGAAGACCTACGGTAGGCTCTGACGCATATCCTCCTCTATCATCTTCTTCATCGGAAGAACTTGATGTAGATTCTTCTTCTTCATAAGGTCTAAAAAAAATTGTTAATTAGGTGTAGACATATGAGTAAATAAATAAGTTACTCATATGGGTGTAGCCTCAAATGCTTTTTTCAAATATGTGTGCGGTATTTGAGTGAAAGTAAACAGGACTTGGAGTGTCAAAGTTTATTTATTGGCACATTAACACTAGCTTACCTAGAAACTTTGCAAACCATTTGGGCTAAATCGGTGAACGTATATCCACCTAAACAATGAACGTTAGAGGAACTCTTATGAATTTCTGAGGTTACTTTGAAAATGGGCAAGTTTCCCGCTCTCATTTGACCGTCAAAGTAGGCTTTTCCGTGTTGGTAACCCACTTCTCTAATCTCGTCGAAGCTACCAAACTGTAGTGTTTTATACTTGTCGATAGGTGGACGGATGTATTCACAATAGTCACTATTTTTCACTTCCTAAAAAAAAATTATTTTCTTTCAGCGATTAATTGAAAAGTTGTTACTGTCGTTGCTACTCAGTGCCTACTGTCACAAAGTATTACTTTGAACCTGCTGACAGAAAGCAACCTACTAATTTGTACATACTACGAAAGTATGACTTGTTCCGCAATAGGTGAAATAGACTAGAACTACTCTGTGAACTACATGCCACGTCTAGCATTGACAAACGATTTAGCTATTTAGATGTCTATCTACCGATTTATTTGAGGATGAGGACACATAACCTACAAAGTACGTCGTACCTTAAATGTCATTGTTTCTCAATGCCTACTGACACAAAACATTACGTTGTACCTACTGACAAAGAGTTACTTACTAATTATAGGTGGTATGAAAATATAACTTGATTCACAGATAAAACAGACTTTTTAACTAATAATATTGTGGGAAACTACTCTTATTTTAAATGTTGATGGCAATGAGCAATCTGTTAATTAAACAAATCCTTTTAAATACTAATACTTACCTCTAGTTGTCTAACACAGCTAACATATGCTAACCGGGACTGGATATCCGGTAGATTAGGAACTTTGACAGTTTCTGTAAACGGATTCCACCGTTTCCATAGTAACCACCAACCCGACAAATCGTCTCCGTAATTTGTTAGATCTTGGTCATCCACCGAGCCAACGTCTATAGCCAGAATGTGATTCGCTCCGAGACTACGCATAACATCAGCTAGATAAGTACAAGGTAATTATTAAATTTACTGACCTTCCCAATATGAAATTATAGGAAAATGAACTAGATAGGGTACATTTTTTTATTTAATCAAAACGTTTTTCAAACAGGTAATGCTTTTCTTTGGGTTTTATTATACGGTAGAAAACTAATTTGAAAAAAATGTGAAAGTATTAAAATAAATACTCTGTTATTTTAAATTGTATCGTTTTGGCGTTTTAGTACTGAGTAAGTACCTGTACGATTATTCTGATATAACCAAATTTGATTTTAGCATAGGTGTCCAGTTCTTTCCTAAAATAAAAACTTTTTTAACTAGAAGCCCCTCTATACCAAATTTGAATAAAACATCTTTAAAAGTAATTAAAATGGGTACCTAAACATTTAGTTTCTTAACTTTGGCGTATATTAACTTAAAAACTATCAAACATAGATAAACTTTTCCTTTTAGTTTTTTTTGATATTAAGATATGAAATCCTCAAGTACTTTTTCTTACTTAGCTGTTAAAAAAAAAACAAATAATTGTAGGAAACCGCATCATTGATTTAATAAGCCACGCAATCAGATAAGTCAGAGTAGGGGCTGACGCTTGTCCACAAATTTTATCACGTAGGGGCGTATAATCCAAGAAATGGATATACACATATGCCTCTACGTGACAATAAGGACGATTTGTAGGCCGCCAGGATCCCGGGGGGCATAGCAATCGACTTGCTCAGATCTGAGTAACATGCATTTATCATTATTGTTTATTACATTTATCATTTTTCTTAACAGTACAAGCAAAAAAATGCCTCTTCTTGAGGCACCTTTTCTTAGATCTGATCATGTCGATCTTCCCCTAAACTGCAATGTCAACAATTGAACAAACCCTCTTGTTCTTTAAAACAAATACCAGATATACCACAAGATATAAGTGCAATGTTTACACAAATATTTATGTTTGCCTTTCTACGAGGTTCTTAGTAAATCTATTTTTTTGTAATATTATTGGTTACATATACGAAAAAAAAATAAAGTTGAAGATCATATTTTTATATCACTTTCAGTAATTGTAGCATGTTACAGAATAAATAAAAAAAATCGCCAAGATATTTTTTAAAATAGTCCTAATGTTTTTTAATTTTAGAAGCGGATGCCTATGACTAAAATTAAATTTAGATATATCAGAATAATTATTGCAGATAATTATTTCATACTAAGAAGTGAAAATGTTTCAATTTTGAATGAAAACAAAACAGTGTTTACAGTTATTAATATATACATTAAGAAAAATGTAAGGAATTTAATGTTTTCTGTCTACACTATAAAATATATACAGACCCACACAAATAACTTCGCTTTTCTGACTCAGGCAGTGTTGCACGAGATTGAGGAAGGACACATTCAGCTAGAAAAATTAAGACATAGGCGCAGCGATTTGGGGTAGTGGCTATCTACTGCCACGTCCAGAGTGCATTTGTAGGCAGAGTTATCTCAGATGCAAACTTATTTGTTTCGGTCTGTAGATTTAGCACAATTCAAACTCTGTTAGTTTAATAACCGATATCAAAAAGTACCAATTAACAGGGAAAGGAAAAATTTTGAAAAATTTTCACTTGTTACCGATTTACATAACGGAAGAAACTTGCACATATTTATACATACCATTTGGTCACTACTTCACTAAATCCTGAAATAAAACTTACTGTGTCATTAAAACCATACCTGGTACATTATTAACATAGCAACCATCCGCTATCAAGTGGCCATCTAGAGGGTCACACATTGGGGGAAAGATACCGACGATTGACATACTTGCCCTGACATATCTCCACAATTGACCTGTTGATTAACTTATTCTAATATAAGGATTAAAGATTATGTTGTCGTAATAGTCCTTCTATATTATTTTGAGGTTAAATACCCTTTGGAGCATAAGAAAAAACAAAATAACAGATGGGGTTATCCGAAAAACTGGTGTTGGTCTTCTTTTAGTGGAATTATTTTTATAAAACGATACAGGTAATTTCCATGTTCACAGTTTTCTAAACAAAAAAATTCAAACAAAATTTGCATGTAACTTTAACAAAAATAAAAATTTTGTCAGTTATTGTGAAAAAAAATACTTTGCACAACCCTTTTTGGCATCTCAGGGTAGGCTATCTTCTATTTTACAAACTTTATTTGAAAATACTTATTTGCCAATCAACAAAGGAATGGTGTACGCACCAAAAACAATTGCAAAGGACTTAATAACAATTTTAACACTTCCATAATATATTCTTTTCGGGGAATTTTCTAAATGATGTAAGAAAAATGGCATTCCAGTAAGTGAAACCGTCTCACCTCAAAATATCAGCCGACTATTACGACATACAACAGCCTTTTTAAAAAGCAAAATATTTCAATAAAATTTTATTTATACCAAACTATTAAAAATACAAACTTCCTCTTCTTTCTCCCACACAGCATTACTAAAATTGTGATTGGTTACCTTTTTCTTTGCAGCTCCAATGTAACCACGGCCTTACTTACCTTTTAAAGCGTAACCGACGAACTGGTGCTAGAGTAAATACAAATAAATGTGTTACCTATACAAAAACGCAATTACCTGGAAGATTGTTAGTGTAACCTCCGTCCAGTAAGAGATGTCCGTCGGTGGGGTCACACAAAGGGGGCATGTACCCAGAAAGGGACATTGACGCGCGCACGTAGCGCCACATAGAGCCTACGGAATAGCTAGGCTAAACTAAATGCTCATATTTACAAAATTTAGTATAAAACTTCACTGCGTTATCATAGAAAATACGGTAAAGCCATACAGTAAGGGAATGTTTCATCATTTCAATCATATGTCATATAAAAATGGAGACAAATATTTAAATACCCATAAAAAAGTGTCTATAAAAAAAATCAATTCAAAATGGTACAAGAATGCAGTGGTGCAATGGTACAAGTAAAATAGCGTGATATCAGTTTGTTTACTATAGACAATTTAAAACAGGTATTTAAAACTTACCCTCTAAGAAGCTTTATTTAACTCATTTAGGGCCAATTCTACAATGCAAGTATATATAAACTACGTATAAGGCTAAGTACGTTCTAAATCACCATATAACACTCCGGATAAACTAGGGTACAGCTTATACCTCCAAATTACACTAGATATACTTGGAATAACGTTACTCTGTCTTTCTATTGGTCCATGACTTCCATTATTCTTTGGCAGGTGGTCTGAATGGTCTGTGTTTGTTTGGCAGTACATGACCTCTAACCTGTATCCTGTTGTGGGTACACATGTCTGCATGACCCGTTTAAATATAACGTAGAGCCTGACCGGTCTGACAATTGCAAGCGACAAGAAATTGATGCAAATCTGTAATACGGGACATACTATAATTACAGGAAAAGGGCCAGTGGAAGTTGGCAGATTGACGCTAGGGACTGGATACTGATACCTGCCAACGACTCAACAAGAGGACTGTCCAATGAACGCTCGACCTGACAACATTTCTTTGTACTGCACTTTTGTTTTCAATAAAAAATACTTTTTATTTACTGTTGAGAGAGTTTCATTTTTGCTGCACACCAAAGCAACCCTCACTAAATTCGTGTATTCTGGATAAATTCTAATATAACGTTTTTTTATTATATTATTGACTATTTTTGCTTATATCTTAATTCTTGTTGAGGACATCAGCTCACATTGGCAACCAAAAGATTTTAAAAATCGGTAAATCAGTATAAAAATATTTTGTTGATAGCGTAACAAAAGCCGGGACTCATGATAGATTATTTGTTAGTTCTCTGAATGGATTTGTCAACTCAGTCAACAATAATTATTGAAAAGTTAAGGGTTTTCAAGTAGGTTTAGCAGCGCCATAAAGTCGTTGAGAAACTGGTGCCTCTTGTCATTGGTAGTAATAAATTTGCAAAGCTCGACCATCGCAGTCCTTTGGAGAAGGCCTTATGAAAAGCAATGATTTTGAATAAGAAGACTTAGATCGTCGGGGCCATGTGTTGGGCATCTGGTATCGACTACTGCGTCAATTTAGCCCATGGTGAAGCGAAAAATCGATATTTCTAATAACGCGCGAAATACATTCGCAAAGACGTAGGAATTCCAAAATATTTAAATAAGTTGTTCGAATGTTGTGAAGAAAACAATAATAGAGGCTTTTAGACGGATATTCCAAGCTATAAGAATAGTTATTAAATGAGATTGACTAATCCGTCTCGTGTTGCAAAACATATTTCCCGCATTTTATTCTGTTTTCTGTCAATGAATTAAATCTGCGCGCTGTATCTACTACGGCGTTTTTCGGTGGTTATCCTTCTTATAGTTGTACCGAAGTACTACAAGCAATGTAGAACGCAAACTCTGTTATATTTGGAATAAATCAAAGTATAAAATATCCGGAGAATAACTATATGGAACTTTATAGTTGCATTATAGAACAGGCCCTTACAATTAGTAGTAAAATTTTATAATATTTATAATTCTCCCAGAAACAAGTGCCAAAATTTTAACCATGCCTTAACTTATCGGAAGCAACAGCTTTTGTTATTTATAATAAACCGTAATTAAATTATATACTTTTATGGAATATTCTGTACATTTTTATCTCTTCCAGATCATGAATTTTTACAATTCTGGCTACTTACATTTTGTTTTTTTGCACCAAAAATACCGTAATCATGTTTGGAATAACATTTTCCTTCAAAAATTAAGTAGGCATAAAAAATGTTACAAATTTAATTTCAATTAATTTAAAATAACTGAATTTACTTCCGGGACAACTTAAAAATCCAGAAGCCTGCAAATATTTTATGTTGCCCACTGATACTAGTAATCAAAAAAAGTTTCGCAAATACTTTTCCCTGTATAATTCACAATAGTTCCCAGTGCGATATGCTGTATACCTATATTACTGAAATTCTGAATTTTGATCTTGAAGATCAAAAAAATACATAGGATATTCCAGAAAAAAAAAAAGGTTTGGTTAATATCTTAATAGCAATGCACATAACAATAATTTCATTGGCTTATCGACATATTTACAATAAATTAATGAACGATGCAAATGTAAAACTTCTAGTAAAATTAATACGTATTACTTTAAATAGAACATTTTTTAAGGTATCCTCTTGCGCTGACGTAAACGTTTTGAATTTTATTTCTAAATCTACATACGTACCCACAACCCTTTATAGAAGATTTTGCCGAGGATAACCTAATCTTTTTCAAACTTTACGACGTTATGGTTTATTGTTCTGCACAAATGAAATTAAGCAGGATTTTTACCTCGAATTAAAATCGTGTTTTTAAAATTTGAAAATTGGGGTTTTAAGTACACTGACTTCATCAAAATAAAAAGCAGTAAAAATCCCTTTCGATTAATAGTGTGAACACATAGGTTAACCAATCACAATCAACACATCCACCAAAAAACATACGAGCAACAAAACTCATGAAGCGATATGAAGCAAAGAATGAGAATGAATATGGGTGCCGGCGGGGTGTGTCAGAAATCACTCCAGGAGATCTAGAGGAGCAGTAATTTTTTTTTATTACGAGATTAATTTAGCACTACCTTTTAGCTACATTTATGGTCAAAATGTTCCATGCAGGATCTAACACTGGAAACAATTTAAAAAAAAATGAATGAAAATTCATTTAATCACCAAAAAAATTAAATTTGACACAGACCGAATGGATTATTTTTTATTGTAACAAACAAAACAACTGTACAAATTTTAATGAAGAATTCTACGTAATAGAAAAATTCCCATGAAGGTATGTTCGGAAATTTTTAAATGAAGCTTTAGTTTTTTTTTTGTGTCAGCGTGAGTTCCAGAGGATAATCGATTATTCCACTTCCAAACAATTTCAAATTTATTCCATAATCCATTGTTTTTGAAAAAATGACAAAATAGATTTTTATTACTGAGTACAAAAGTTCGTGAGAATAACTTAAATTTCATATTTATTTGAGTAAATAAATTGAAATTTAGAAGCAATGAGGTGCGAGGAAGGTGCCCAAAACCATGAATTAACAACACAAATAAATAAAAATGAACAGTGTCCAAAAATTGCAAGCAATATCTAATACTGCCATCAATAAAATAAAAAAATCATATCTACTCAATATAGGGAGACAAAAATCCATTTCATACGGAAAAACCCTTGTAAAGGTTATTTATTATTGAATTTCATTCGGTTATGTTGAAAGACAGAGATAAACTCTAGTACACCACATGTATTTCAATTTATCGTCAGTTATCAACTTACGTATTTTATTTTCATTGTCGAATTTGACAAAAAGTTGGCAATTTTTTAATTTAAAATTTGACTATGCCACTGGATTTTCCACTCCCTTAACTAAATTAGTACTAAATTTCGTGAAGAAAACTTCATAGTTATAAAATTAAGTTTAATTGTTTTATCATTTCTGTTATTCCAAATTGGGGTAGTAGACCAGGGCAGATCTGTTTTGAGGTGGATGTGAGAGGGGGCAAGCAAATTTTTTCTGGATTACCTTCAGTACAATTCACATAATAAAAGTGTAGATCCCTTGATCTGGGCGAGGTCCGGAACATTTTCAAAATTATAAAAATGTTTAAAATATTTAAACAAATACCTATTTTGTCTGAGTTTTTTACTTATATCTAGGAACCTATGCATTTTGGAAGAATATTGAAGAGGAAAAAAGTTTTAGAATTGAATTTTGCACAATATACTGTGGGTTAAAAATGTTTAAATTTATTACCGATGTTGCAAAATTGATGAAAAAAAAGGCAAAATAATCAAGTTTTTTGGATAATTTTTTAAAATATTTTAATTGCTTCGAGGGCATTCTAATTTTGGTAAAAAAACTTTAGAGTCTAGTAAAAAAACACACCAAATTTCATTAAAATCAGTTCGATAGTTTTCGCAAAATAATTTTTTGAAATAAATTAATTTCGAATTTTCAACATGTTGCACAGCTTCAAATAAAGGATCTAGATACTTCAAAATTTTTTCATATAGAAAAGACCACTCAACCTTTAATATGGTTTTTGAAAAATTGAAATCGGTTGATTATGACGGCCAAAGTAAATTTTTAAAGTTCTCTTTTTTTATTTTTAAACAATTAGATCACATTTATCAATTTGCAATTTACTTTTTTTTTTTAATTATAATTTTAAAGTACTATTTTTTCTTAATTTTATCTGTATTTAACATAAAAATTTTGTTTAAAGAAAAATTATTTAAATAATTGTAATAATTACAATTATTTAATGCATAAATAATAAACCTTGTTTATAACAAAATATGTACAAATTAGACAGTTGGCATTACGATATTCAAATTCCTTGGCTCGCGAGACATCGGATTAAAAAAAAAGATCGAAGTTGGTCCATTAGAGGCCGAGATAATGCAATTTTTTTCGTACCTTCGCATTTTGAACCTCCGAATTCAGTCTCGGAACGAAAGCCTCTTCCCCCTCTTTTTGTGTTTTGAGTCACTTTTTGCGCGTGCAAGCGACAGCTTTTCCGATGATTTATCTATGTTGCCGTTAACTTATGGATATGAAAATTTTTTCCAGCTTAGAACTCGGAAAAAAGAAGCCACTGGGTCAAAGATTAATGTTACATTGTTTATAAATTAACGGTCAATGCCGATAAACTTTGACCGTTTATATCTCGAGAACCAATAAATGGAATTCAACTCTTTTTTTCGGTAACTTTAAAATTATAATTTTTGAAAAAAACTAAATTTCAAATTGATAAATGTAATCCAACTGTTTAAAAATAAGAAAAAAGAATGTTAACTTTAAAAATTTACTATGGCCATTCTAATAAGTTGATTTAAATTTTTCAAAAACCATTTGAAAGGTTGAGTGATCTTTTCTATGTGAAAAAATTTTAAAGTATCTAGATTTGAGGCTGTGTAACATTTTGAAAATACGAACTCTTTTTCCTAAAATTTTTTCAAAAAATTATTTTGAGAAAACTATCGAACCAATTTTAATGAAATTTGGTGTTATTTTATTGTACTCTAAAGTTTTTTTTACAAAAATTAGAATACCCTCGGAGCAATTAAAATATTTTAAAAAAATTATCCAAAGAATATTTTGTCCTTTTTTCATTAATTATTGCTATTTTGCAATATCGATAATCAATTTAAACATTTTTAACTTACAGTATATTGTGCAAAATTCAATTTTAAAATTTTTTTCTGTTTCAATATTCTTCCAAAATGCATAGGTTCCAAGATATAAGTAAAAAACTCAGATAAAATAGGTATTTTTTAAAATTTTTTAAACATTTTTGCAATTTTGAAAATATTCCGGACCTCGCCCAGTTCTAAGAATCGAAATATTTATTATGTGAGTTGTACCGAATGTATTACAGCAAAAATTATTTTATTATTATTATTATTTCCCTGGTCTATAGGCAAACTATGAAATCGTAAATAAATTAAATGAACAAATAAAATTTTCAGGAATTAGCTCTTTTTAGTCTTTTTCGGGTGACGTACGTATCTACAATCAAAAGTATACAAAGATGTCCAACCAACGAAGAAAATCAATAACTAATTTTTGTCAAATTTTACTAGGAAAAAATACTAAGTACACTTTAGTAACTAAATAAAATAAAATAAATAATAAATAAAAAATAAATAATAAAATAAATAATAAAATATAATAAAATAAATTGAAATATAATAATAATATGACATATTAGAGTTTTTTAAGTTCTATCTTTCAGAAAAAAAAACAATACATATCCCATATTCTATTTTAGATAGGTGACTACAAAAATTGCATATATCCCACTAAATACTTCTGTAGCTATGACTTTTTAATTATTGATGGTAGAACTATAATAATTCTCTCATAATGTACTTTTTGCTTTTCTGTTAACGTTCACTTACGAAAAATACGCCTAAATCCTGGAATTTAATAGATCAAATCTTAAATATTTTATAGTGTGTAAAATTTCCAGACCAAAACCCGATTTCCTTAATCAATGATCACAATATAAAATGCATTCTCCTGCAAGAGGGTGCGTACACTATGATAGATTTGATATCCCATACAATAGTCGCTAAGAACTTACCATGCGTATGTATCCTCATACAAGACGACGTAATGTCGGTAGTAACAGTGAAATAAGGCAGCCAGAGGTCTTCTATATACGTGTCTCCTAAAGTAGCACGGATTGTTTGGTTAAAATCGCGACCGCTGAACATCGACGTCACCGGATATGTCAAGTCCATAATTTGTCTCCACCACTGTGTCATTTTCTGAAAAAATGTTTGTTTTTCAACAACACTGCAAGTGTTGTACATAATTTATTTTTCGTTAGGTTTGTTCTTTGCAAATTCCGCTGAACTACTCCAATTTAAATAAAATTTGGTGTGACGGTATGTACGACTTCAAACGGGGGTAATAATAGGTATAGTTTTTACTTCAAGCAGAAAGAAAGTCGTGAATTTACCTTATGGAATTTACGTAAACTGTTGACCTAAAAATTGAAACATATGGAATAAAATAAAGCGGTGATATATTCAGCCATTTTCGTTTCTCTGAATTTCGTTGGTTGTATGTATTTTGTCCGCCTAATGTCCTGTTAATACAGGGTGTCCCGAAATTCATGCAATATAATTTGGTCACAGATTCTTAGGACAAATTTAGGGGACCCGTATTTTTTATTTTTGCCAAGTAGCCCCCTCTTTCGGAGTTACAGCCCCCTGAAGTCCGCCTCTAAGAAAAATTTTTTTTTATATCTCCGAACCCTGTTGTACGAGAATCCCTAAATTTGGTACAAAGGGGTTTTATGACATGTGGAATCTGACGGTGCAACGTTTTTTGACGGGGAACCCCCTTATGACAATTTTTCGTGGGCTCCTTTGTCTTTGGAGCCAAAAAAATTTGGTCGCATATTTAAATTTCTTAAAAAGTATCAGTCCACTAGAAAGTCATTAAATTTAGAAACTTTTTGTCTCTTTATACTTTTTTCGTAAAACGCAATGTTTTCGAGAAAAATGTCAAAATGTGATCGAATGTATATCGTGATTCGCCATTCTCCTCAAAAACATTGCGTTTTATGAAACAAATATCAAGAGACAAAAAAGTTTCTAAATTCAATGGCTTTCTAGCTAATTAATAATTAAAAAAAATATCAAATTTGCGACCAAATTTTTCTGGTTCCAAAGACAAGGTGACCCACCTAAAAGTGTCTTAAGCGGGTTTCTTACTAAAAAGCGTAGCACTGTGAGATTCCACACATCATAAAACCCCTGTGTACCTAATTTAGTGATTCTCGTACATGGTTTTGAGATATAAAAAATACTTCTTAGGGGCAGATTTCAGGGGGTTGTAACTCCGAAAGAGGGAGGCCAGTTGGCAAAAAGAAAAAATACGGGTCCCCTAAATTTGTCTTAAGAATCTAAACCAAATTTTGTTGCATGAATTTTGGGACACTCTGTATATCACATAAGGTGGATCGATATTACACAGTTTACCTAGAAGAGGTTCAATGTCAGGGATCACCAACACTGAGATTCACAAGCTAAACAAAGTGCTTTAAAAAAATTGTAAAAACTTTTTATTTTTAAATCAAATTGAAATTAATTATTAATTAAAAACGTGAAATCCATCAGATTTTATAAAACAGCAAAAATAATTATTTTACGGCATATACTAATTTTACTTATAATTAGTAATGTTTTAATTTAGTAAAACATGTAAAAACATATTAATTTCTTAATTAAAGAACACTCAAACATTGTTTTAATGTTTGGTGTTTTATTCGTATCGACAAGAAAAAAATATGGCTTTAAAATACCCTTTCACGAAGTCATACAAAAGTAATCTGTTGTTACGATATTATTTTCCATTGTATTTTCACTCTGCGTTACTTTCATTCACTCGATTTAAAAATGTAACGAGTGACAAGTGCATACATACAAATGAGTTCGGGAATTGCCCAGTGGCGTATGGACAAGAGTTTCAATGCAGCTTGAAAGCCGACCACATATTTGATTAAAAAAAAAAAACAAATTTCATATTAGTATTCTGGAGAACAAGTATTTATTACCCTTAAGAAAGACCCAAATGAAAGTTGTTCAGTTCATTGAGGGAAAGCGGTTGTTGATTAGACGCTAACCATTAGCTTGAAGGTCAATTGAAGGTCAACAACATAATTTTAAATGGGACACTGTTTTTTACCCTGGGAACAGATTTGTTAAAACATTTTACATCCGGATGTGACCTCAACTTTGATTTTGCGGTCAAGGCCAAAAAGACAGTGACTTCACAAATGATTTGTCACCATTGAAGCAGCCTTGGAGTAAGATGTTTGCCCCCATACTACTCAACAAAGGCATAACTCTGCTTCAAAATTGAAAAAGGCATATTTGAGTATGTTACAAAGTTAGACTGAGTGACTGAAAAATTGAAAAATAATTTCCCTTTATTTGTGGACCATTGAATTAAGAGGTTTGCCCTTATTACTTTGCAACGTACTCGGGTGTAAAATTTACCGCTTTTCCAGGATCAGCCTCAGGAATACAGGTACCGATGTAGAAAGAAACAAAGTCAACCTTCAAATGACCTTCAAGATTTTTTAATCTTTCATTTCCAAGATCACCGACCTATGATCCCAAATATACTTAAAAACATTTGTAGAGGTAATTAAGGTCGACTTCCGTAGTCGACTTTCAAATGACCCTGAAGGCTAAGGTCGTGCTCAAATCCAAAGCCATGATTGAATGTCTTGATGAAAATCCCATCAATTTTAGGGGGCAAACATATTATTCCGGGGTTGCTTCAGGGGGTGACGAATAATTTGAACTCGCTTGACCTTCACTCTTACTGCAAGGTCACAGTTGAGATCACATCCAGATGTACTATTTTCTTCCAAATCCATTTTCAGGGTATAAAAATAGAAGATTCCATTTAAAATTATGAATTTGACCTTCAATTGACCTTGAAGGTCACAATTAGAATCTAATTCAAGGTCATCAACCGCTTTCCCCCCATGAACTAAACAACTTTCATTTTTGGGTTGGAGGCTTCACTGACGAGATATTCACATGTATCGGTTAAAATGGGACACATGGTACATAAAAAAAATTATAAAAATTAAAAAATAATTAAACTTATAATTACCTTTGACCACTCCCGAGCCTTCTGTGTGACGGTTGTAATATTCCTCTCTTGAGACCAAAGAGCTCCCATGAAGGCACCTATGCTAACTCCGCCCACCATATCAATGGGAATGCCAGCTTCCTATTAAAACCGCTCAAAAGTATAAGAAAAATAATAGATCACATAAAAGATGTCGAGTTATCACACGAACAAGCTCAAATACATATTTTTAAGTAAAACAGATTACCTGTATAGCTTTTATCATCCCTATATGAGCCGAACCCCGCGCTCCGCCTCCACCCAAAACTAGCCCGACTGATGTACCAGTTAACCATCTGGCCAGACGCGAAAAATCTGAATGTATATTCGGGTCCGTGGAACAGACCTTTGAATATAATTCGTTCTAAAACACACAGTTTCAATAATCGTTCGGCTCAACTCGACATATCTACTCACTATTCTATAAATCGATTTCCTAGAAAACAGCCTGTTAGGGCATAATATATGATGATGCGACGACACCCACGTCCTCATGTTCAACCATGCGATGGTATTATGTGGTTTCCCGTCCTCTTTATGCAACAACACCAATTCCTTCTGTGTCCTTATGGCCAGACGTTCAATTTCCTTCTCCACTTTGCCCAGGGAAGGATAGTTATCCCCCAAGCCGACGATTAGGATGCAGTCGGCTTGTCGGATACAACGTTGGGTCCAAGCGCTAACCGTTAGGTCGCACTGATAGAGAGAAATTTTGTGTTGGTCCTCTTGCTGCGCCAACCACGAAGAGAGACGGTACTCGTTATTCGGGTCCATTATTGTCGTTCCAAGGGTTTTCCTCACTACATCTGAAGTCAGTCTTAAAGTTGAACCTTGAAATACAAATGTAAATTAAACGTAATAATAACAATTAAAAAAATATATAAAGGGTGTGCCATTTAACACTCCCGCTCCAATATCTCCGAAATGAAGAAATTTATTTTAGTCCAGAAACTGGGATTGTTAGGTCCCTCGAATAGCTTCAACTTGCATTTAGAATTGCTAGTTCAAATCTTTCTTTATAGATGGCGTGGCGATACTAAAAAATTTTTTGATTCCTCGAATGTGGACTAATATGTGTCATCTGTCATAATGTTTTATTTTAAACAAAAGACATGAGCGACCTATGACTGAATTTTTTAATAATATTTGCCTGTTATAAGATTTAGCAATGTACAATTTTTTTTCTGTAGTTGATCATTTGTTTTTTTTTGTAATGTATTGTTTGTTAGTTAGTATGTGGCTGTCTCGAAACTAAGTAAATATTGGGAAAAACTTTATATTACAAAAATTACTCAAAATTTAACGATCTTTCAGATGAACCGCATTTCCATGTTCCAGGAATCAAAAAAATTTGTTGTATCGTCACGCCATCTATACAGAAAAATTTAAACTAACAACTCTAATTGCAATTTGAAGCTATTCGAGGAACCTAAAAACCCCAATTTTCGGAACTAATAAAAATTTCTTCATTTCGCAGATATCGGCAGGGGAAGTGTTAAATGACACACCTTGTATCTGAGTGTTTTCACTGACAATCTGTTAAAAATTATGTACGACTCGCATAAATTTTATTATAAAATTAAGTTTTATAAAATGCACACTGCTCTAAACAAATTCTATGTCAATTCTAGTGAAAACTACTACTACAAACGACCGGTTTCAAGATAGAACCGTCTACGATATTGTGAAACATTTCAAGGATGCAGGAGGGACTGTGGCCTGTCTTTGGAGCAGGTATCCGTCAATAGCCACCACTCCTGAGCATGTCAACAAGGTACATTGCCAAATCCGTTGAAATTTTGAACTCCCAATGCGCAAGATGGCCATAGAGCTGGAAATCAGCACTGAATGTGACCGAAACACCGTCAAGAGAAAGCTGGGACTTTGAAGTTACAAGTTGATCCGATGAAGGTGAAGCATCTACAAAAATGCCGTGGAATGCGTCGACTGGTCGCTGGTGGTCACCTGAAGAAGCTCTTCACCGAGGAGAGAGTTTCACAATTAAATCGCTCCACAACCGCTAAAATCGCAGAAGATTGGCCATTTTCCTAAGTTTGGTGACGATCTGAGCCATCGAGAAGACACCCTACTATTCATCATCCTAACAAACGTTAAAATTAATGCCGTCAAGTACCGAGAACGAGTTCTGCGTCACACTGCGAAGAGTGGTTTGAACTTTTGGAGCAAGAACGTTTGACCATCAAACTCGTGGCATCTCAACCAAGTAGATAATTCGGTGTGGTCCATCATTAAGCAAAAACCCTCAGGAAGATGCTATGTAATAATGGAACAGTTGAAAACGGCATTGGAATGTAAATGTATTGAAGCCAAAGGTAAAAACTTTGAACATTTGCTGTAAATTTTTCTGTTTAAATTATTAATGTTGGTCTAATAAAGGTTTTTAATTTTTTGGGTGTGTTGATTTGTTGAATTGTGGTAGTTATTATAGCCTCTTGAAATATCTAAAAAAATTGTGGGACATGTTCACCCACCCTGTCTGTATATTGTCTCAATCGTTAGAAAACATTTTATTTCTAAAATGTATTGCAAATATCAGCAAACATTTTTTTTATCATATACAGGCTGTCTTATAAAAAACGTCCCAAGCTGTAACTCTGTTAATAATTGTTCTATTTTAAAAAGACAAAAGACTGTTGTTAATGGCTAGATAAATACTACATTCGAGCACTGATTTTAATTTTTTTTACCATCATCAGAACGTTAGGCGATTTTCAATTGTTTTTCCTTAAATGTCAAGTGATTATTTTTTTGGCCTGTTCCATAGAGTATTTTTTTCTGCAGTCAACAATGTATTACAACTTGATATTTATTAAATATTTTATGGAAAAAACATTTTTTTACACAATTTATTAGAGAAATGCTATGTCTAAAGTAACAACACAAAGCAAAACAAATAGATACCAGATCAACAACAAAACAACAATAAAAAACCCTTATAAAAATTGTTCGAACTGTCTTCCATCTTGTTGAATACATAACTGACATCTTCTGGCTACCTCATATGTAGCATTTGATATTAAGTTAGGAGGCATTTCATGGCAAATGTTTATAATCCTCTCTCTTAAAATACCTACATTTTCCGGATGTGTCAAAATTACTTGATTTTTAAGATATCCCCAAAACCAAAAATCTGCGGGGACGAGGTCAGGAGAACGGGCAGGCCATCGAACAGGACCAGTCATGCCAATCAACCTTTCATCAAAATTAGCATTTAACCAATTAGTGTTTCTTCGAGCATTATGCGGAGGAGCACCATCTTGTTGAAAATAGATCCTATACACTTCTGCAAGCGGTAAGGTATCCAAAGTTTGCAAGATTTTCTGACAAGATTCTATGATATTTGTCTTGAGTTAGAATTCCATCGATGAAAAATGATCCAATTAATTGATTACCTAGAATACCGCACCAAACATTAACACCGAATCTCCGTTGGTAATTGGTTTCAACAGTTATTCTGGGATTTTCTTGATTCCAATATCGATGGATATTTCGGTTAAAAATGCCATTATTACTAAAGGTACACTCATCTGACCATATAATTTTTCTTCAAAATCCTGCGTCTTGTATCATATTTAAATAAAAATGGCAAAATTGCTCCCTTTGGACACGATCGTTATCTTCAAACACTCGCACTTTCTTTGGTACATACGATTTAAATTTGTGTTTTTTTAAGATGTTGTGTACTGTGTCTTTCGAAGAATTAATATTACTTGCAATCTCTCAAGTAGAAGCTTGTGGATTTCCCTCAATACTAAGCAAAACGTCTAATTCTACAGAACCATTAAAAATGCGTTGCGAATTGTTAGGCTTTTTAAAAGAACCACACATTCTGAGATTGTATCCAAGTCTTTTAAATTTTCGTCGCTGTGGAACATTCCTGTTTAGAAACCGAATTGCATACAGACGTTCTGCTTGGGCACTATTTTTATTACATTGAAAGTATACTTGCAACATATCGGTCAGTTCATTAGTGTTTTTAAGTTTAATTTCTTTGTAATTAATAACCACTTGACAATACACTGATAAGTATTTTGCCTAGGAAATGACGCGTACGTGACATTTAATGCTTCTAAATTTAATTGTTTTCATGGCAAATTTGACATTTTTATCACAAGTTGACGTGAATTTCTCTAATAAATTTTGTAAAATATTTTTTCCATAAAATATTTAACAAATATCAAGTTGTAATATATCGTTGACTGCAGAAAAAAATTGTCTATCGAACAGGCCAAAAATATTAATAATTTGACATTTAAGGAGGTTTATCGGGTACGGAGGTACGTCTAAAGTCTAACGAAAGTTTCTGTAGATTCGCTAGTGACTAGAGTAGTAAACCTTTAGATTTGGCAACGTTGCACTTGGCTCGGCTCGGCGTTCGCTCGCTCCCGTTCGATCATTTTGTTTGTTTGGACACCTGCGAATTTCAAATAATACGCTACGTCGAGACCGCGGCGTTGCCGCTTTCACGCATATGGAGGATAAGTTTTAGTCAACGACAGCAGTTTGAAGGAGAATTATTATAAATTATGTATCTTACAACTACCTAATCGATTTCTACAAGCTGTGATACGGCTCCTTAGATATTGGTTTTCTATTTATACAAGTTGCTGTGGAAACTGTTCGTCAATTGCATTCCCACAGGACTGTACTAAATCGTGAAAAATTATTTTATTAATATTTCGTCTCTTAGGTATCCAGACTAGTCATAATTTTTTTGGGGATTTTCTTCATATTAATAAGCTTATATTAATTTTTTTATGAATATTTGTTCGTCAATTCCAAATCAGATAAAACTCCTTCAGAAAAACCAATTGAAAATCGCCTAATGTTCTGATGATGGCAAAAAAGAATTAAAATCAGTGCTCGATTGCAGTATTTGTCAAGCCATTAACAAGTCTTTTGTTTTTTTAAATAGAACAATTATTAACAGAGTTACAGCTTGGGGCATTTTTTATACCTAAATTTTGTTAAATATAAATATATAAAGTACTTATGTTTTTAGAGAATCGATATAAATTTTAATTAGTATTGTAAGAGATATTTGTTCATATGAAAACTGCACATCGTGTCAAATAACCGTTTTCTCTCATTCTGAATTTTATCGAACACGGTTTCCAAATTGCAAAATTTTTAAATACGTTTATGTTTATTACACTAATTGTGAACTCAAAATCTGTTATAAAAAAAATTGTACTCACCAATAGCACATAAGCAGTGGTAAAGTTCGTAAGTAAACGCAGTTAGCGGTACGTCATCGGACGCAGCGACTATAGCCACAGTTGAAAAGTTAATCTGTGAAGGTCTAGTGTCCACCGCCGAACTGCTAGGAGTATGAACGTTTATTGCTGGCTTTTTCCAAGTACCTAATATCCTATGGCCCAATAAATTAATAAGCCTAGTTACGACTATCGGAAATCTTAATTTAATTGCATTGAATAAGCCTTCGGGTAGTTTGGCGAGTTCGGAATCTCTCACAGCTATCACAGTAGTGCTTCGTTTGGTTTGCGTCACCATCTCAACCTGAAAGGAAACTTTTACAACATCGTCGCAATCGGTAACCTTTCTTACTTACGACTCCAATTAAATCGCCTTTGCCGTATTCCCCAACCAGCTGCTTTTTACCATCCTTTTGCGTTATTACGGACCTCAGCCGTCCGGAAAGTACAATATAAGTAGAGTCGCTCTCATCGTCTTGTCTATAAACTGCCCTTCCCGATTCTATAAAGAGCCAGTCTAGCGCAAAATCGACCTGTCGTACGAAGGGCGATAGTCGCCTGACCACCAAGTGGGCTATATATAAAACTATCTTAGGTTTTTCCTTCATCATACTAGAACATTATTACATACTATTTAGAACCACTATTCGATCGTTCCTTGTGAAGATTATTCACCTGTAAAACGTGTTTTTGGAAAGTAAAGCTATTCTGGTAAAATGCTTTGCGCGTATCGTAAAAAAGCTCGGTTCTCCTGTTAATACGGCTAGGCCTCCAACTATTTCTCCAGGATAAGCGGTGAACATGTGCACCTCATCATCGCCTTCGGTTAGTTTTTGAGATACAATTAAAGCGCCAGAGATGACATATACAAGGGCGACGTCCTGAAAAAAATCCAAATTAGTTTTATGGTCCCTAAAAATTAAATGACTCTTTTGCCTGTTGCAGAATCAATTTACCGAGGACGAAGAGACTTTCTACTTCCTTTCTCTCCTAATAAAATAAAAAACCTTTAGTGAACATATTTGTCTCTTGTGCAATTCTCTACGTGTATACAGGGTGTAACTTTAAATGGAGGGAGAGGGGACAATTTTTTAGACAATAGTATGTGTTCTCCAGAATACTAGTCTGAAATAATTTATTTTAAACCAAAAAAAAAAGTTCAATAACTGGTTTTTAAACTGCACTTATGTCTACATCGTCACAGGGCAGCTCCCAAATTCAGTTGTATCAGTGTTGTTTGTTATTACTTTTTTAAGCAAGCTGAAAGAAACTAACATGAACGAGAGAGAGTTAAACAGCAATCGAAAATAACTTTGTAAAAACGGATTGGTTTTATACAACTATTTTAGAACCACTGTATTTTTTTGACATCAAAGCAGTTGAAAAACCAAATTCAAACATTAAAACATTTTAAAATAATTTGTTTTAAAATAATTATTTTTTTAATTTTTAATAAAAAGTATTTCTTGTTATTTTTATAAAGCACTGTGTTCAGTTTGTGCATCTCAGTATCAATGACCTCTAATTTAAAGTGAACCACTTAATATCAATCCACCTGATACAATGTGATAATTTTATATCTTTACATATGTATCTTTATACATATACAGTGTTAGAAGCTTGACTGCCTTAATTTTAACAGGTGATAGAATACATTAAAATAAACAAAAAAAACTTATATGACATAGGTCCTAAACTCAAGCATTTCCGAGAAAAAAATTATTAAAATCTCCAAAATCTCAACTTGATGTACAAAAGTTCGATTAACTAAGGAATATTGACATAACTGCGTGCATAGAATACCATAAAATACAATGTTTATCACTTCTTTGAACTTCTTTATGCTTAATTCTAAAAAATAATTAGTGTAGTAATAAATTTAAAATTTTATAAAATTCATATCGAGCGGCGAATAACACGGGGTACTAAGCTGTTCAGCAATATGCAATTCAGTTGATATCTGGAACTGGACCGTGTGCTGGTGTTTTTTGCATATCACTATTTCCTTTTCTTGAGGTGTTTTCTAGCGAGTGCGCGAAAATTGGGTTCAAAGGTGTCGCGCGTACATCGAAAATGGCGGTGGACATTTTAAGCATATATTGTAGTTTGTTTTATACTTGTGCGTTTAAAAATTACTGAATTTTGCTTTTGGGTAAATACCTAAATTATTTTTAATACGTATGATTATTTAGATGACGTTTGGAATCTTTGGGTATTTTAATTGCATATTTTTCAAATTCATAATTTGATTGAAAGATAAGTTCCTGTTTTAAGGAGGTATATCGGGGTCCGAGGGAAGTGAGGAGTGCAGGGGGTTCTATGCTTTTCTTATGCGACTAAAGTCCCATAAGAAAAAATTAAATTCTTTTGAAATTATTTGGGATAAACATTATCTATATAGCAAATAAATCTACTCATATGACATAAAAATATCATATTTAAGTAGTTTTAAATTATATTTAATGAACGCATAAAGACTATGTAGATGTGGCAACAGCGCTAATAATTTACTAGCAGTTGTACACACTGTGAACCTACAGACCTCGGACATCGGAGATATTGCGCGTCAAATTCGGGTAAAAATGCGTATGCATTCAAAAATGTATTGTGTGCAAACTATGTATAATATAATTATTATATATAGCAAATATTTCGTATTATCCTCGTGAAGATTTGTATCCTTTATTTAAAATCCGTAAATCATGTGAACTGGTAAAACAACGAGAAAATAATTATGTTAATTTAGTTCTAAAGAAATTAAATGACACTCGCGCCCATCTCTCGTCCAAGTCAAAGAATATGTTGGATGCAATTTTGAAGGTTCTGTGATAGAAATTACATTATTACTCACTGTTCTTGTTTTTCATCTCTATTTTAGTAATGTTACAAAAGTTTTGCAACTATAGTCTATAACTAATTTTTTAGATATAAAGTTTGCTGAGTTTGCATACAGAATTTGAGAAAACAAGCTCCCATTCAAAGTTACACTCCGTATAAGTTGGAATGACATGGAATTCCTGCTGAAGTAGAATGTAATGCGAAAAATTGATTTTTTTAAAGCTACAATCCTCCCATTTTCATATGGGAAATATTAGGTGTCTCCAAACCATATTTAAAACCTGTCTTTAAGTAAAAATACAAAAAATGCCAATTATTTACCTTATTTGAGTCCTCTTTCATTAAATATGTACCAGCTGACACTTCCCTAATTTCCACTTTTCCCTGCAAACTCGAAGAATCATCGAGTCCTAGTTCTTTGACAAAAGCGTCGGTCGCTATTTGTATCAGATCTTCTTCATCGACGTTCTCCGGGAAAGACGGCCTTTTCCTTTGAAGCGTTGTCAAATCTGGGGTCTAAAACGGTCAACGTTTATTTATTCGTTTAGCTGTCATTTTTGTGGCATACGTTATTGCTCGCGCCTAGTTCAGTATCAGCTACCATATCGGGGGTTGCATAGTTGGGAGAAAATGATTTCGATTCCAACGAAGACTTGGTCCTTCGATGCCCCGGCACCGGTATAGGCTGTGACATAGAGTAAAAACTGTCTGCTGTGCTCCCTGGACCTCCCTCTTCCTTCTTCCTCTTCAACGGGGACCCTGGTATAAGGTTTTTTTGTTTTGGACCCTAAAAAAAAATCATAAAGTGAAACAATCAATCCCTTCTCGCGTAGAAATGTAATTTCAAAAATGTTTTGCTTTTTTAATTAATTCTGATGAGAACTGTTGCAATTAAATGATTTCATTAGATGTCAACCGTTTCCTTACTTGTTTAACTAGTTCAGCACTAAGTCCCAGATACTGATGTAACGCCGTGAAAGTAACTCTTTGCAACCTAACCATAATAACTTGAATGACTCTTATAAATATGTCTGGGTACTCTTGAAAAATGTCTTGAAATGCAGCCATTGGCAATTTTACTACCGTAGAATCGATAATAGCTTTAGCCGATATGGTTTTGTATGGATTTGGGTGTCCCTGAAATTTGATTGTTTAATTTTTAATTTTTTTCTCGTTACATAAAATAGGTACACTTACAGTTAACACGTCTGTAAAACTTAATAAAGATGTTACCGACTCTCCAGGTTTTACAATTTTTAATGTATTTGTGCCTTCACTCCCCGTTATAAATACATTCAATTTTCCACTTTGGACAATATACACGTTTTCATCAGGATCACCTAAGAAATTCGACAATGAAGATGTATATATGTACCTACAGGGTGTATCAATATAAAATGCTACCAAATGCTCTTGATACTAAAATAAAACAATTACACTAAATATACCTTATGCTGGGGCCATACTAATGACTAATGCTGATAATTATCAAACTATCTTAAATTAGGTGTAACCACGACTTAGCACGCTAATTTATTATCGTCATTATTAATGGCGTTAGATATGAATGAAATTATTGTGTAGCTACATCACAAATATGCAATTATCTCGAAAGATATTTGATGTAGATTAATGAAACTTGATTATATAAAGGCAAAGAAAAAATTCACTGAATTTGTATATAATTATATCAATAAATGGTTGGACATACTGGGAGACTCCTCATTCAGAATACCAGAATTTTTACGTCAATGAGTATTTTGTTTGATTCATAAATGTGTATATCAAAAAAATATATCTTTTGTTTTATTCGAAAATCAAATCATTTTGGGTTACTGTTTTGTTAGCTTAAAATAAACTTATAGGTATAGTTGAATAAATAAAAAATAATAGTTATTTATTGTGTAATTGTTTTAAGTAGCATTTTATTCATGCAAGAATGTTTAAACACAAGAACGTAGTTCGAGCGTTTAATATTCTTAAGTGGATAAAAGGCAATTAAAACACGAATGCAATACGTTTTATCCATAATCACATCACAATCATATTTGTAGAGTTAGAATTATTGGAATTTAATAAAAAAATAATCGCACGACTTGATATTTCTAACGTTGTTTATTATCAATTATTTAATAAACAGTTCTATCTGAATTTGTAAAAGTGCAAGAAAGTAATTGTATTCCTGAGGCTGTTTTTGAAGAAGCTCAAGAAGCAGATTTCCATTAATTGCCTGCGAAATCCAGGGAACATTACAAAGAAGCGTTTGCCGAATTTAATGAATGAAGGAAAAAACTGAGAGTAATGACAATAAATGAAGAAGTCATGCTATTGTATTTTTCAAATTTGAAGAAAATATATGCAATTACATCTATGTGGTCGAAGTATTCGAAAATATATTTCTCTGCGCCCAGTTCGCCTAACACAAGACAGATTTTTTTTAAGATACATCTATCAAAAATGTACTTCTCAGCCTGTTGGAATCAATACATCCTAAATATCGCAAATCCAGAAGCACATACTGGCCATTATATGAGGCGCACTTCAACAACTTTATTGGCCAATAAAGGTGCTGATCTTACAACCATCAAACAGCATGGTGGATGGAAGAGCTCTTCTGTAGCATAAAGTTATGTTGAGGAGTCTATATCTAACAACCTTGATATTGCAAGGAAAATCCAAGCAAAATATAGCTGTTCCTTAACGTAACTTATGTAAATTCTTCACAAACTTCGGCAGATGTTATGCTTTCCGAAAATGATGGCAACAATGCAACAAGGGTTGTTATTAATGGAAAGGTAGTTAAATGTGATAAAACAAAAAATAAAATGTCTATTACTACAGATGTAAATGTTAATGTTAATAAGTAAATAAATTAAATTTAATACGTTTATTATATTTTCATTATTCTACTAGTGAAATAAAGTTACTTTATTCCACTAGTTGATAAAGTATCACTTTAGACGGTTCATATGTATTGTGTTGATAAAAGTCCGATTATAAGGTGATTATGGATTAAAACATTTTATTGCAAATTCAGTTTTAATTACAGTGCTATCATTAAAGTCAAGAAAATTCAGTGGCGTAGAAATTAGTCCCCAACGACTATGCCTTAAAAAATTTAAAATTTCTGTGCCAATGACCATTTTAAATTTTTTATGATTACATTATTTTTAAAATTACATTTGCATTTAATGGTAAATTTTTTTGCAAAATAAATAAACCACCTTTGGACTAAGGTATATTTAGCCCAATTATCATATGTTGGCCTCAAAATGATATCTGGTAGAATTTTGCGCTTCCTCATTTAAACACCCTGTATTTAAGCAACTAAAACTATTTCTTCAAAATTAACATGTCAAATTACTATTTTTAAAAATAATAAATGTATTAATTCCATTGTTGTTACATTTTACATATCATTTAAATTACAAAGCATACATATATTCTTGAATGTAGAACAATTTATAAACATTAAATAACACACTATTTATCAAAAAAAGAAGACAAGTAGACTTTAAAGATTAATAAAAGTATGCCTTACTAACCTATTCGGAATAAATAAGCACCAGCACTAACATTTATAATTTCCGTGTGTTTGCAGAGTTTTAAAAAGACCGGTTTTTCAAAGTGACCAAAAACTCTAATGCTTTGAAGCATATACAAGGCATCAGGTGGCATTCGATCATCGTTTAACATATCCTCTTGTAAATACTCAGCTGGTGGTTCCAAGACCTATTTGCAGTAAATCTATATTATAACGTTAATTACTTCAAGATTTCATTTGATACTTGAATTTATTTTATAAACATTTTCTTCAAGATTTTAATCGATACTTGTATGATTCTTTAATACAGAATATTTTTGTAGAAAGGGAACTGCTATTCAAAATTTATGTAAAAATAATCACCTTCATTATTAATTACTCGAGTATTATTCAAATAATAGAAAAATACCAGGAGGAGGGGGAAATGACACGTACATGCATCATAATGTGAAATAAATTATGGAATTTTAGATAGTCCCATAAAATGATATGATGTGAGAGCTGTATTTTTTTATTTGGTTAAATCATTATTTATCAGGCAAATTAAAATATAAAAGTGAAACGAATTTGATGGAATTACTTAAATAAGAAGTTTTCTGTAATAACATGGTCTAGTATGTCACAAGTTGATAACAATGGAGTAGGTACAATTTGAATAAAATTTTGTAAATTAAAATTAAAATTAAAATTAAAAATTATTGGTCAAATTGCATGTACAGTTTTCATTAACTTTCATTACTGAATAGTGTTTATAGTAATGAAAACTACACATTTTTTTACGCAAACAAATTATTTTTGGAAATTGTACAGGAACATTCTGCATCCTTTATCTCTTTTACCTATCTATCTAGGAAAAATGGAAAGGACCAAAGTTTTAGAAGATTCTCTTGCGATTTTAAAGAAATATATAAAAAAAATTGAGTGTATTTTATAAAACAAAATTTTTTAAACATTTTATTTTTAACCACCCAGTATACTTATGACTTTTTGGAATTATCTCCTTATCTAAAGATGCAAAAATATTGCGCAAACAATCAAAGCAAATACATGATAATTAGTAGAGAGCGGACAATGTGTGTCTTTAACCCGAAGAATAGGTCAAATTTTGGTAGAGATGTGTACGCGTTCAAAAATGTATTGTGTATAAACTATGCAAAATATAATTATTATGTATAGCAAATATATCGTATTATCCTTGCGAAGATTTGTACCCTTTATTTAAAATCCATAAATCATGTGAACAGGTTAAATAACGTGAAAATAATTAAGTTTATTTAGTTCTAAAGAAATTAAATGACACTCGCGCCCATCTCTAGTCCATCCGTCGACATCGGTTGCGTTTATCGAATTCCTATTGGTCAGAATTCAAACTGCAGCCCTGTTATGAATGGAGCTTGAGTTGGACTATTCTATCATGTGCGTCGCCTGAGGCTATTCGTTACATTGACTCCTAATTTCCAATTAAAAGAACGACACTATTTTTAACCGAACTTTATTTAATAAATATGTAGTATACAATTTCTGATTTTCTAAATATTTTATAACGCCTAAAAATGTATGTCCCGTGGAATTTTCGTGAATTATCACGTAAATTTCCGATGCATACTCGACACGCCACTGCATCATGGATAATGTATCTAGGTTTATGAATGACATATCTATGTTCAAGGGTAAAGACACAAATTGTCCGCTCTCTGATAATTATAGATCACTATAATCAGAAAAAAGAGAAAAATCCAAAAAATGAGACATATACAGCATGTTCCTTTTTTAAAAAAAAAACAAAAGTTTGATTTATATCTGAAATGCAATAGTAGTTATCATTATAATTTTTTTGGTAATCCAAGAAAATTTCCATAAACTTTGGTAATTCTAACAGCAGTTAACTTAATTTCCTGACCCAACATATTACTTTAATTTGGTTTACCTTCAATTGCTCGTGATCAGTTTCCTTTTTTAGCTGTAAAATTCTCCTTGCAAATTTCATAACCATTTTTCGTTTTTTTCCTTGTCCAGAATTTCTAACTTGTCCAGAAATGTTTTTTACCTTGCGTATCATTTTTCTACCGTAAAACAAAGCCTTGTCTCTTTTTCTGAAACGGCTTGTTGTTTCTTGAGGTAATAATTCCTTGCGAGAAAATACTAAAATATACAATATTACACAAGAACGCCATATTTACAGTGTTTACCTTTTTTGGAACATTTTCTTATACAGATGACTACTATGATAGACAATGCTGTTATAAAGCAGAAAATTATTAAATAGAAAATCTAAAACAAAATTAAAAAATAAATGTATTCAATATTTATCGATAACCAAAAGTATGAGTTTTTGTATCTATTATGTCACCTTATACGTTTCTTGAAATTGTATTAATAAATGTCCTAACCAGGTTGACTTGCTTAATATACTAACGTCAGAATTCAAATTTCGTAGAGTATTTAAAATATCCATTTCATAAATATCATTCTTTAAAATTCTCTACACATACAAATGTAAATAAACGATGACTGACAATGCCAATGACAATATTGACTGTCCCACGTTGTCAACGTCAACTGTCAGTAAGAGGCATTATTGGCTTTGGGCCAATATGGTGGTGCAAACGGCCATACTTTGAGAAGAAGACGAAATCTACTATTGTACATGGGTGTACATAAGCCTCGTGATAGAGAGGCACGACGGGACAATTTGAACTCACCCCGCTGGATTTTGCACTCAATGCGGAAACGTGTGCTCAAATCAGAAAATATAATTATATTTGAATAGTTATCATCATATTTATTCTTGTGTCTCTTTGCCAACTTCCTGCCTGCAAAACACAAAATTTGATTATTTTTGACATGTACTTGCCCGCTAGCTAAATTTTCTGAGGACACCCATGGCCGCTGTATATTATGCCTACTCCTATGTTGTTTAGTGGTTGGAGTTAATTTTGAGCAAAATTACAGGGTGTTTCGTAATCCCATGCTCTAAAATATTGAAAAAAGTCAGATAAAAATGTTGATTCCTCAATTTCTTTACTAAGTCTTTTCCGAATTTTTCTTCAGCATATATAAAAATTTAAGTATGTATCATGTTAATTTATTTTGTTCTTAATTAGATGTTAATTAACAGATATTTAAATGATAAATACATAACATACCTACTTTTATTTTTTGTTATTAAAAACACGTTCCATTAAAATAGTCAAGAACAGTAAAGCAATTTGTAATAGAATCAGAATAGGATAAAGTAGGGTTATAATTTTGTTTACATGTTGGTGTAATGTTTATCTACCTGTCTAAAGTAATTAGTAATTAGGATTTTGATAGTTTTACTCTTTACGAAGATGTGCCTCCCTTCTCTAAGAAAATAGCAAGTTTTTATCAATTATTTGTGACTGAATCTGAATGCAGGACGCGCAGGTGTAGGACAGTTTGAAATTGCAGGAGGTATTATGTTTTTAATTAAAAAAGTTATATTTATTTGCCAGCAAAACAAACTATTTTTGATCAGGAATCTAAATAAGTCCACTTTTAAAAATAAAAGTTATGACGTCATAAAACTTAGGAGTCTAATATCTAGTAATAGGTATTTACTACAATTTTGATTTTAGATGAGGAAATGTTAACAAAAAAGCAACCAATACCACAGGGTAGTGTTATAATACAGGAAAAACCCTTTGTTTACAACTTATCATCAAAATTTAGGACTGAAAGATGTGATTTTTGTTTTAAAGAGTAAGTACTTTCCCTATAAAGAAATTTATACAAAATTGACTAGGGGAATTTTTGAAATAATTTTTATTAGGTAAAAAATTCACACTATTGGTTTTTTAAGGGGTCAGTTATCTAAATGCTCCGTTTGTCGTTATGTTTATTATTGTGGCCGGACTTGTCAGAAGGAAGCTTGGACATTGCATAAATTGGAATGCCAACATCTGAAAGCAATCTCACCCAGAATATTACCTGATGCAGCACGATTGTTAGCAAGGCTGATAAAAATCTTAGCGAAAGGAGGCGATTCAATTAAATCATATTATACGGAAAAAAACTTTAGAACGTTTAAGGATTTAATGTCACGTAAGAAAGTTCATTACTCATTCAAACGTTTAATAAGTATGACATAAGTAGAAAGAAGAATTAAATTTTTAATTTAATCGGCTGCAACAAAAAAACATTAATTTATTAAACATTGTTTTCAAAGCTCCTGTAGTTGTTAAAAAAAATTATTACATATTATTTCAGTAATTTAAATACAAATAGGTTGTTTTTCACAAAATTTTCATTTTTCTTTATGTTACAGCACTATGAAAAAAAAATAAAAATAAAACATCGATTGTATCGATTAGTTGATTATGAAAAAAAAAAATATTTATCAAAATATGTACAACCCTTTTCTAGATCTAAAGGCAACCTTTATTTTAATGTTTTATTTCGCAAATTTAATTCAATACATTTTCATCACTAAAGTTCTATATCGTTCTCTAAAAAAAAACAGTAATGGGTCCCATACTTCATTATCGAAATATGACCACTTTAATTTTCACGAACCATCACTATCACCATTAATTTATTAACAATAATTAAATTATTAACAATTAAAGAAGTTGTTGAGGTTATTTTTCATTTCAGATTATACAGAAATAAAAAATGACACGGGCAAAATGGAACATTTGTCCTCATTATATGGTGTTTTATTTAAATTTTTTGATGGTGAAATGCTACCAAATTCCGCAGATTTAATGGGAATGTATGGACGGGTGAGTACATCTGTTTATATAAAATATATAAATTTTATGACGGATATTATGAAGAGTTTAAATAAATTAAAGGCATATTTATTGGCCATTATATTAACTTCTATATCTATGTGGCCTCTTAAACTACTTTTTATAATTTTAATTTTGTTAGTAATTTAACAATACTAAATTTAAATGGGTGAACAACTTTTAGATGTGCGTAAATAGCTTCAGTATTTGCAATCAGGAATTGCACAGCATAGGCACCGGTATTTATTTAGCAGCATCTGTGGTTGATCATTCGTGTAAACCTAATGCCGTCGTTACTTTTGAAGGCACTACCCTAACTATGAGAGCTTTGGAAACGTTACCCGTTTTGGACTGGTCAAAGGTAATAACATGATATTTTAAATTTTTAAACATGATTAGAAAATAAATAATTCAGCTATGAACGGAATTCAAATTCTTGAAGTGTATTTAAAACATAAACTAACAATGGGAATGTGTTGTCAGCAGTAAGTGTATTAGTAATTTTTTAGTTGTGTCGTATACATACTGTAAAGTGAGTAGTATATTCCCATTAAAATATTTTATATTGGTATTTTTTTTCTAGGTCATCTATTCGTAAATTGAGAAGAGTTACTTGTAGGTATAATAACGATATTTTTCTACTTATATTGAGGGTCGCAGAGCAATACCTGGTGTTGCATGTAACTTCTTTGTCAAAAATATTATTTGATATTTCAGTTCAGTACGTTCGATTTACCTATTCAATGATATATTTTGGATTATTCTGAGTAAACTGTGAAATAACAGTTTTTAATGTCCCTTGTAAAATTTACTTTTTGTCGTTTGAGGTATGGCAGTATGATCCTTGATATATGAAAATAAGGATTTCTTCACGACTTTTTCTTTCTCTCTAGAAACGAAAATAATTTCTTAATTAAAACACTAAACTAACTAAATTTGCATGAGCCTTTTATTAATTAATTTTATTTTAGTGAAACTTTTTTTGTACACATCTAAAAATATTTAAAAAACTAAAATAAAATGATAAAATTTCATTTGACGAATACCATTTTATAAATTTTTTATGTGAAAGTGCTCGTGAAAAAGAATGCATGGAAGCAACTAATAAAATAATTAAGAATTTACTTTGTAACAGATCAATCTGAAATAAATTGAACATCATATTTGAGTAGAAAAAATAGCATTTCATATTTGTGGTAAAATATTTTGCTCCACTAGCCACCAATGTAGATTGTGAACAACCATTGACTCCCATGAGAAACATCAAAGTATTTATTTAAGAAATACATGGTGTTCAAAGTTTCAATTTTATTGTGAAATTTCTCAATAATTCAGAAATATTTGATAGCATGACTCTGAAAATTGGTAATGTTGGATTTTTTGGTGTGAGAATTACGAATTTGAAGCTTATTTTGACGTTGCTCCTAAAGGGCCCTAGTTTCACAGTATTATTCAAGTAAATCGGAACATATTTTTTTTATCTGTTGAGCTATGCTTTAAAAAACCTAAAAATATAAAAGAACGTTCAATTCTACATATAATATGTACTCTTGTTTAAGTTGCCTAACTTTATCGGTTTCTGAGTTATTTGCAAAAGTTTCCATGTATTTTGTAGTGATTTTTTATTCTCAAAAGATGAAAATAACAATAACAATTATTGATAATAGTAATAATAACAAACCGTAAATCAAATGCTGGAAGTGTCCACCACCTACCTCAATACATTTTATTAAACACTCCTAAATGTCTCTGAATATTAAACTTAAGTGTCCCTATTATTTTTAAATGCATTCTCCTAGAGATGGGCAATGGGAAAAAATCGTTGGTTAATTTCGGATTTTCGGTTAATTCGGAATACCAGAAGACCATATTATCCAAATAAGTTAGAAAACACTTACACTTACTTATTTTAATCTTTGTCAAGTCTACAATCTACTTAATAGAGAGCAATACAAGACTCATAAATTGCTTCCTTTTCAAATTTAATATGAATTTTGATAGTTGAACCAAAGTACAATTACATTTTAAAACTAGTATAATTATTTAATGTATTTATTATTTGTTTGTTAAAAAATAAAGATAAATATTGTATACTGTATAGTGTTTACGCACTGTAACCCTCAGCATGTAATTTTTTCTAACGGATGATTAATACATAATTTATATTTTTCCAATATTTATACCAATATAAATAAAAATGTATATAAGTATTTGGTCTTTTTGGAAAGCTGATGGTATGTAGAACACAATACCAAATCCAAAAAAGATTTTTGAAATTTTCGGAAAATTTCCGAAATTTTCAATGGAAACTCCAGGAATTTTCAGTTTGGGAATTTTCCCATCTCTACATTCTCCTCAACAGAATTAATTTCTTCACGATACACCATATCCTTCAAGTTTGACCACATTGAGAAGTCCAGAGTGTTTAAGTCTAGACTTCTTGGTGGCCAACTAAATTTATTCCCACGGCCAATCCACCGATGAGGAAAATGTTCATTTAAATACTGGCAAGGCAAAATGTGGTGGTGCACTGTCATGCATAAACCACATACTCTCTCTTAAAGCGAGTGGTACACCATCTAGAAGCTCGTTTAAATTATGTTGAAGAAAGTTTAAATAATGGTCGAAAAGATCCAGATCCGCCTTAGGCGATTGTAAAGATTTCTGAATAGTTTATAATTAGGTAATCTAGTTGGGTACAATTGGACATATCTTCGGGCCGCCGCATGTTCATTAAAATGAGCCTGAGCAAAATCACAAATCATATCATGCATCTCACTGTTGTCATGGCATTTTTTGATCACTAGCTAATAATTTTGCACGAATAATAAATCACACGCACGCAAAATGCGTTAATATTTATAGACATGAAAATTTGATACAAGCCTACTTAGAAAAGAAATAGCAATATCAGCGCCTGAAATCACCACAAAATACATTGAAACTTTTAAATCCAAATAACTCAGAAACTGATAAAGTTAGGCGACCTAAACAAGTGTACATTTTTTATGTAGAATTGAACGTCCTTTTAGATTTTTAACTTTTTTAAAGCATAGCTCAACAGATAAATAAAATATGTTCTGATTTACCTAAATAATATGGTGAAACGAGCGCCCTCTAGGAGCAACATCAAAATAAGCTTCAAATTCGTAATTCTCACACCAAAAAACCACTATCAAGTTTCAGAGTCATGCTATCACAACTTTCTCAGTTATTGAGACTTTTCAGAATATAATGATGCATGATGAGCTCAAACATAATATTTTGGTGTCTAGTATCTCCAGTTTAGTGTTGACCCATTCTTTCTGACTCATCTTGTATATTAAAAAAACTGAACCATTCCATAAAGCAACAACTTTAATATTTTGTTAATTTATAGAGAGGTCTTTAGTGTTACCGTTGAGTGAGAATACTATTTCTCACTCAACTTGTTACTTTAATGATTCAAGACACCTGAAAAATTTTATACTTGAGCAGTTAACATTTTGCTATTTATTTCTGGGAGACACCCTGCATACGGAATAAATAATGTAATAATTAGAATTATTTATTGGTGGCAATCGTTTATTTCTAACCTTTTATGGTATTTTCACCACATTAAAAAGGAATACAAATTTAACATATCTGAAATTTATTTTTCTTTTTAGTGTGGCTAAAATACCAAATTAAATAAGTACTAAATCCATTAATGTGTTACACTACATCTGTTAATGTGTTACACTATATCTTACTGTGTTGATTTTTATTTTTTGTACCCATATTTCGTATGTTGTATTGTTAAAATGTTTTTTTTACGTTGAGTTCTTTATTTACTAATTAGGATGTATCATACTACTACTATTTTAATGTGTTTTAGATATTTATTAGCTACATAGATGTTATAGCTTTAAAAAAAGAGAGGCAAAATGAATTAGAAGCAAACTATTACTTTTTGTGCCAATGCCCTGGATGTGTCGGACCTGAACCCATAATAGAAATGACTGGAGCAGCCTGTCCCAATAAAGAATGCGGCAGTTGCATCGATAGCAGCAGCATTAAAGCTGGCAATACGTGTTCTAGTTGCGATGCCGTCATAACTGAAGATTTCATAAAGGAATATCAGGATGTCACGGACACTACTGCAATGCATTTAGAAAACATGAAAGAAACTGCCTGTATCCTTATAGATGTACCTTTTTCAAAACGGTTGATGTACATAAAACTCTTACAGTTCATCAACTCATCTAGTCAATTTCATTTCATTTTATTTGTATGAATCCTTAATTAGATCGATCAGACTTGGACGTATGTAAAGTGTTTCTAAAACGACACGAAGGGCTGTTGTACAAATACAATGTGAAACACGTTAAAATGTTAGATATGGCGTTTGAGAGCTCCATCGAGTTTGGAAAATTCCAGGATGCTACACAATACGGATTGCAACTTATAAAAAGTTATTAGTAAGTGCGAGATTTACGAAATGTTTTGAAAAGTTGGGTTGTGTGAAAATGGTCATGGATGAAATCTGTTTAGTTTAATTATGAATTTCAATATACAGGGTGGTAATTAAGTATTTTCCGATTTCTTTAGATTATTTTGATTTGATAACTTTTAGGATATAAACTGTCTAACTTGGAAATACTCTATTTTTTTTGTCCCTGCAGACAAGAAATAATAGTAAAACTATGTTTGATTTTTTTTGTTTAAGTAAATATTATGGAAAAATCCACCCGATGACTGGAGTTCTACATTTAAAGTTGGGAAAACTCTTACTTCATGAGAATAATTTACGGGCTTCACTGGAACATTTGAAAAAGGCGAAAGAAATCTTGGAAATTACTCACGGAATTACGAGTCCAATTTTCAAAGAACATTTACTACCTCTGTACCACCAAGCTGTTTACAGTAATTAGATTGTCCCTCAATACTTCTTACCTCCATGTATTTATTTTTTACATAAGTTTAATAAATTTATAACTGTTTGATGAATATTATTTTAAAAGACCCTACTGGATATTAATTTCCTGTCTATTGGCAATTTAGCCGTCAGTTTTTACCGTTTCAGCTGTCTGCTGTTGGTTTATAATCGGTTGCTCTTGGGAAGTAAAAAGATGATAAATGCAGGATTCTGCACAATACCAATCTCAATTTTTTAAGTGTTGTGTTAAACAAATTGTATGAAAGTAAAGGAGTGGCAGAGAGTGAAACTACAATGGAAAATAATTTAATATAAATAAACAGATTGTTTTGAATTACCGCAACATATTATTTTAGAATCACTATAGTTTTTTTTTTTCAACGCGGAAGTGCTGAATATAATAAATATATATATAAATGGGATGTTTCATGTCAAGCGAATCCCCGACCTGGACAAAAACTGCGTGGAACGATCGAGACGTGCAAAGGCTCAAAATGTTCGTCTAGTAAGAGGCTTTCAAACGTAGAGTGGTACTTTTCAAATCTCCAAAATGGCGGACTCAATATGGCGGCCGGAAGCTGGAGAAAACCTGAGTGTACGGCAAAATAGGGTTGTGAAAATAAACATTCGCCTCTTAAAAGCTGGTGTGGTTGGATGAAAAAATTCAAAATGGCGGATCCAACATGGCGGTCAAAAAACCAATTTGGTGACTGAATTTTTGAAAATTAACTGATTTACACCAAACTTGGTATACGGGAATTTTTGAGGTCGCTGATTACGAATCCGAGGTCAGATTTGCAAAATTCAAGATGGCGGACGAAATTTCGGAAAATCGAACGATTACCACCAAATTTGGTATATGGGGATTTTTGGGGTCGCTGATCATGTATCATAGGTTGGATTTGCAAAATTTAAGATTTTATCCGCCATTCTGGATTTGTCATTTTTTAACGACCTCCGAAAACTCCCCATATACCAGATTTGGTGGAAATTGGTTGATTTTCCAAAATTTCGTCCGCCATCTTGAATTATGCAAATCTGACCTCTGATTCGTAATTAGCGATCTCAAAAACCCCTGGATACCAATTTTGGTGTAAATCGGTTAATTTTTTAAAATTCAGTTACCAAATCGGTTTTTTGACCGCCATGTTGGATTTTTTCATCCAACCACACCAGCTTTTAAGCTGGTGTGGTTGGATGAAAATTTTAGCTACAAATTGAGCTAAAAAATGACCCAATTGGTTGCGATTTTTTTTTTCACAACCCTTTTTTGCCGTACACTCAGGCTTTCTCCAGCTTCCGGCCACCATATTGGGTCCGCCATTTTTTATTTTTGAAAAGTACCACTGCGTATTTGTCCAGGTCGGTGGTCCGCTTGATGTGAAATATCCCAAATATATTTTCTCCTAGATTTACTAAATATTTGCCAATATTGGTGTGGCTATGTAACTAATTAAAACTAAAATTAATTAACGTTTTAAAATAATTAAAAATACTAATCCGATGGATTTGAAATAATTTTTACAATCGTCTCAAGTTTTTAATAAAAAGTATATGGGACATTTCACGTCAAATCGATCACCTACACAAAAATGTATTTAACCGATTTAGACATATAATTTCTTCAAATGTTCATCTGTTTAAAGGCTTTCAAAAGAAAAGAGGCGTTTTGAGAAATTCAATATGGTGGATCAAATATGGCACCTACAAAATTCACTCTTCGTGATAAATTTAGGAAAAAACTGAAAAATTGGGGGTATATTCCCAAAATGGCGGATCCAATATGGCGGACATAAAATTCTATAGGTTAGAGTCCGGGGGTTTTTGGCTTCTCCGATAACAAATTTGCCATTGAGTTTTGAAATTCAAAATGGCGGAACCAATATAGCGGAAGAGCAACCCCAACTATCCTTTGCGGCAAAAATACGATTACAAATTTACTATTGGAAGTTTTAAAATTCAAAATGGCAGATCCAATATGGCGTACGAAGAACCCTGAATCTTCTCCTTGTCGGCAAAAAACGATTACAGATCACTTGGATCACTGAAAGGAAATAGTCTTAAGGTTAGGAAGTGTGATTACAAATTTGTCATTGAATTTTCAAAATTCAAAATGGCGGACATGTTCCTCAACTATGGATTAGGTTTTTTGTGTCAAAGGGATGACAGATTCGTAATCATGATAAAATTTTATCATGTTCCTAAATTTACCATGAAGAGTCAATTTTGTAGGCGCCATATTTGATCCACCATATTGAATTTCTCAAAATGCCACTTTTCTTTTGAAAGCCTTTTAACAGACGCATATTTTTAAAGCACTGTGTTTAGTTTGTGGACCAGTGATAATGAGCTCTGATGTTGACCTATATAGTTTAGGTGACCTGCATATTATCAATACACCTGATGTGATATGACAACCGAGGTTTAAGTGAGCACGAAATGTGGGTTGGGTTACTATTATAACTCAAAAAATTTACTTTCGAGATAATAGCATTTTAAGTTTCTCATGCATGTACCTGTATTTCTTTATTTTCTTTTTTATGAAAGTTTTCTGAATTTTGTTTGTCGTAATGCTTCAAACTGGACTGTTAATGTTTCTAACACCCTGTATAAGTAAAAGAAAACATTTAAATGAAATAATTTATTACATAGAACAAATAAAATAATCAACAATGCAAATAAAGCAAACAACTAAATTTTATTCTAATTTGAGATTCTTTGGTGGAATATAATCGGGATCGCCCTCATCCGTTATATCAACTACCGACGAACTCCTCTTGAGATCTTCCGTGTTCAACACAAAATTATCACCAGAACTTTTCGGAAGTACGGTGATATTTTTTATATCTGATGTCGATAAATTAGGTTTAGGCACAGCTGTAGCTTCTATTTCGTTCTCTAAGTCTATCAGTTCCATTAAAGACGAACTGTGCACCTTTTCTGTAACACGTTCACAGCTCGGAACTTTCTTAACCGTTATTTCCGGGGATAAAGTATGAATTTGCGTGTTCGATTTTAATTCTTCCACATTACTTCTTTTCGAAGAAAGTATGATTTTTGTGTACTTCGGAGGCTGTTTACCGAAACTGATCGGACTCGGTTTTTTCACGCCACTTGGAGTAATGATGAAATTACCAGAACTACCCGTCTGTTTATTTACCAACATAAACTTTCCGGATGTCTGAGACGTTATAATTTTAGGGGTTCCCGAATTAGATACATTACCTGTTAAGTCGGTTGGTAAAGTTGTATCTAAGATCTGATTGTCGTCCGCGAATATAATTGGTAAATCCATTATATCCTGCGTTGTCAGATTTGTTGGAGGTGGCAGTGTCGATGGAACGGTCGAGGTCGGCACATAAATGGGTTTTTTAAGTGGTCGCGGTGGTTTTGTAGTGAGGAGTTGGCGTTTTGCAGTTATATATTTTCCTCCTGCAACAAATCGCATTTATCATTTCAGTTCAGTAGAATTCATTGCAAAAAATATAAGTCAACTATATTACATGTATGAACGGTCACTGATACTCAAAGCTTAGGCCTTCAAACTGCCAAACTAGCAAGGAGTGACCTGCTATTTTGCAGGTCTTGCTTCCATGATACCACTACAAGACAGGTCTTGCTTTCATGATACCATTAGAATCAGTTTTTAAAAAATGGTTATATTACGAGAAACAACTACTCTACTGACTAATGACCTGACCAGTTTGGCCGTTTGAGAGTTTAAGAATTGAACAGCAGTGACCAGTCATAGGTGTAGCTTACATTCATTCCCATGTAGTGAAGACACCAAAAATAGCTGAATAATTCAATGCTGACCGGAGCATTAGTCCGCAGAGTAGTTGTTTGTTGCAATATCAGTTTTAAAATAGAAGTTTTTCAAATAAGGGAGAGTCCTAGGAAGAAACTTTTGTACATTTCTTCACAGAACTTTTCCTTATTTCGACCGTACGCAATTTTAAATTTCGATAATTAATTCTAAAACACCTTGTATACAATTTATCAAATCTAAACTTACTGTTCACTTTTGTTGGACCTCTTTGGGGGCTCAGCGGTAGTAAGATTGGTGCGCCGCCACTTCCCTTGGTAGAAGAGCTATGTACCGTTTTCAGTTTACCATCGGGAAGAAGCAAAACGTTACCGACTGCAGTGTTACTCCCTTTAACCGAATTGATCACGGTTATTTTCGATAAGTCGATGGTCCTGCCGTTATTCGAAATTAACTTTGCCGTAGTGCTGCTGTTTAAAGTAACGTTTTCTAGAACTGAAAGCAGAAATATTTTATTTTTGTTCTATGAGCTACGTACAAACGTGATTTTATACCTTTGATTCCCGATGGAGACGGTTTCGGTTGTGACGGAGGTATCGTCTTTATACCTCCCTGTAACAGAGTCGATAAGCTGGAATTCTGTGTTACGGACCTGTTAAATCCATATGCCTGCATGCGGGCTATAAAACATTGAAATAAAAAACAAATATCGACAGTGAATTTTACTAATTATGTAGGTATGTGTAGGTAGGTATACAAGGTGTTCCTTAAATAAGTACGTTCTTTTGAAGGGGTAATAGAGGACGTGAAAATAAACAATTTATGGGTAATTAACCACGGATTATTACGCGGAACTTCGGACGACCCTGCATCGCTCCGCTTAATCAATGAATTAACTAGGTCAAGTTAAGTGTGGTTATTTGCACAATGCATGAAGTGTCTTGCTTGCTCTCGTCGATTGTAGACAGATTTATGTTGATTTATTTCATGCCTTATTTTCACATCCTCGATTACCCCTTTGAAGGAGCGCACTTATTTCAGAAACACTCCATTTGTAAGTAAGTATGAATTAGTGTACTAATATATTTGTTTCTTGTTTTGTCATGTAGAGTTTTTTTCTAAACTCAAACTTAAATGTAATTCTAAAGTGTATCTGTGAAAATGTAACAAACTGATTTAGAAAAATTAACGATTTTTTTTGTTAAATAGTGTATATGATAAAACTGGCCCACCTGACGATATAATCATATTTTTTCCTGGCGGTGCGGCAGGTGCGGTTGATTTTGCGACCTTCTCCATACTGATTACTGGTTTTAAGGTTTTAATTTTTTTTATTGGCGTGTCGGAATTCGGAATAATTTTGGGAGGTGGAAATTGTTTTTCGGGTAAAGAACTATCATTGGATGAGGTGTCTGATGTGATATTAGTAGGGTGAAGGGGTGTCGGACTAGAACTAGGTGAAGAAGGAGTGGTAGTACCTTGAGCTATCTGCTGCGCCCATTTCATTTCTAATCTGGACTTTGTCTTCGAACCTGGAGGCCTGCCCACTAATGAAAATTGGAAATTAGCGCTAGTTCTTTTACGTTTACAATAAACTAAAATTGTTACCGTCAATCATACAGGGTGTTACGTTAAGGGGCGATTTTAGAGTGATAGTAAACCAAAATGTCACTATTAATTTGGAGAAACTTGGAAAGAGCAAAATGCGGTTTCGAGAAGGATTTTCCTGCCAAACTGCAGTACAATTATAAATTATTTGAAATACGACACAAAGCATAGCATAGAATTCGGGGCACGGTGCTCACGGTAACCACAACGTTTTCAATTTATAGGACGAGTTGTGGCCGTTGTCGTCCCCGCCACCCAGGACAGGGAGATCCGAAAGGTCAGTCCATCCCTATCTCTCTCCTCTCCACCCCCTCTTACCCTTCTCACTTTCCCTCTCTTCTTCACCCTCTCTCTCCCCCAATCTCTCTTAGATATTTGGTTGATACTTTCAGATCTAGAGCAAGCGCCACACATGCTGCATATAAAGCAATGTTTTAATTGCCGGTGTTGCGAGAAACAAGTACTCCGAGGGCTATATGCCCCTGCCGGCATTGAATTATACTCGCAACACCTAGTGAAATAGCTAGGATCGTTCGTCAGTTTAACCCACAAGGCACAGACCGGTTTTGGACTTATTAGTCCTCATCAGTGTGTCATAGGTGAAACAACCGACGAACGATCCAGCTGCTTTGCGTCGTATCATCACGATAAGGAAATACATTGTACACGGGAGCGCAAATGGCAAAAGGGCGAAGACAATGTTTTAATTGCAGGTGTTGCGAGAAACAACTATTCCGAGGGTTATATACCCCTACCGGCATTGAATTATTCTCACAACACCTAGTGGCAATTAAAACATTGTCTTCGCCCTCTGTGGGTGGCAGTTGTGCAACAAGTACCTGCAATACAGCAGGTCGCTTTCTACTGTAGCCAATTGAATAGCACAGTTGGGAGTCAGCACGACAGATGGAGCCATTTGTGCTCCGCGTACAACATATAAAGCAATGTTTAATATTTTTTTTAAATCCAATTCTCTGTATTAGTAAGTTAACAACACCCAAATTGTAAAATTACGCCTCACAGGAGACCATTTATAATCAATATACGTAACTAAGGCACACAACATTTACAAAACATTCCAAACCAGAAAAATACTTCCACCAAAAAAATTTGTATCCAGTCGCAATTAGAGATTTATAGTTAGTAGACGTTTTACCTTTTAAAATATTAATATTTCCGGCGGTTCAAGCACGAGCGGATAAGCGCAAGCGGACTTACAATTACTAGGAGAATTATTTAAACCTGGTCGTGAAATCCGTGGTGTCGGAGACGGCGGTTCGCTGTCCAACGAGCTGGTATTTGAATTGTAACGTTTCCTTTCTATCTTGCTCTTTTTCGTGACCATGTCGGAGGCGGCGTGGGTGGGCGACTGCCTTATTTGAGGTGGAAATGGGGAAAGGATTATGCCACTGACGAACTCGCCGACTTCGTCCTAGTAAAATACACAGGTTTGGAAATACCAGTGAAAAAACAATTCAGTCTAAAAGAAAATTACGAAGGGCATTCAAAATATTTGAAAATGTGAACCAATATTTTCAAGAATAATTTTCTTCGTCGGTATAATTTTTTAGGCTATAAAACTGGTTTGTACTGGTAGATAAGAGATTGGAATAAAGAAATTTGAAAAAAAAAACAACCAATACTGATGTACGGCCTTAAAACCACTGCACTGCTCTTCCACCCGCCCCGCGGGCATCCACGCTTTTGACATCAGTTTGTGATAAATTATGATTTAGTTATATTACATACACATACAGGGTGTTTGTAAAATAAGTACGAAATATTTTAGGGGGTGGTTGTCGAAGTTATTTTGTGAAAAAAAGATCATATAAGTTCGAGTCATATCTTTAAAACTCTTTGAAATAATTAATAAAAATAAATAAAAAATTAAAATTTAAACACTCTGTATCTCGGAAACAAAGCATATTTCGCCTATGTTTATATGAACTTTTTTCACAAAATAACTTCGGCAACCACCCCCTAAAATATTTCGCACTTATTTACAAAAGCACCCTGTGTATGTATTAATTGCCACTTTCTATCACAATCTCGAAGAGAAAAGTGTTTAATAAAGAAGAAAAATCGCATAAAATATACAGACTAAAAAAACGGAGAAACTAATGTAAGAAAGAAAGAGAATGTGAACAAGAAGAATAAAATAGTTTGTATTCGAAAACGATTCATGATAAAAATTTCTAAAAGTATTTGGCATATGTAACCGATTATAAATTATACATACCACAATATATCTATCAACAATACTTTGAGTTATTCCTTCAGATTTCTTCTTTTTTTTATTAATTCTTAAATGTTCGTCTGCCGATCCAACAACAATTAGTCCAGTCTCTACCCTCATCCTTTCTCTTAAATCTTCTACGTCTTCTTGCCTAAAAGTATTTACTATTGTTTTTTTGCACAATAAATAACTAAATATTCATAACTGATATGTTAGTGTAAAATAATTAATGTAGTAGCAACGAGAAAAATTTCTAAAATTAGCTATACCTTAATTTCGTGGTTTTATTGGAATAATTTTCTTTTCATTCTTTTTACTGGCTAACTACAATACTTTCTTTTTTTAACCGTTTTTCTGAAAATAACCTATTTTTTTGCATGTAACTTTGAAATTAACAGGTGAAACGTGGTTCCAACTGACAATCTTATAGGATATTTTTAACAAATTTGCAACAATTGTATAAAATTAATTTGTGCAAAAAACACATACCGGATGTTAATTAAGTAGGTCGACAAACTATAAGGTGGATTTTTTAAATTATTTGAATTAATCGATAGTTTTTTGAATACAGGATGTTAGCATTTAAAAGAGCCACATATTTTGTAAAATATCTCTGAAGATGTTTGGTGCAGAATGATGAAACTTAGGCTAATGATTTATGTACGTTAAGGTAAAAATCCAACAAATTCAGACATAAATATGTATATTCGTGACAAAGATACCGGTAGTCACTCTTGCTGAAACCCCCAGAAACGCTCCTTATAGTGTTCCCAAGAGAATGGATATTTTTCATTTTATTTGAAAAATAAACCAATTACTTTTTTTTTAAATTTTCATTAACATTACCAAGCACTTAATTAAACCTAACATAACTCTAAAACTGCTCGTTTTTTAAAAACAAATTCACCATTTTTTTTTTCTAAAACACAAATTTAAATCTGAAAAGTACAAGAAAATAAATGGCATACTTTTTTCCTATGAACTTTTTTTTGAGATACAAGTAGATTGAGTTATTTTACATTCTGTGGAGTATTTAGTACGAAAATTTAAAAATTGAACTACTTACAGAGAAGTACTGGAGCACTGTCCGATAACAAACAGAACGGGACATTGCAGTTCCAACAAATTATCGTCCGGTTCACCTCTCCTTCCTTCCGCCGTTAAAAGAGAAAAGCCTAAACTTACTACGCACAGAACAGGTTCAACTTGCGCAATTTGTAATGCTAAAGTTCCTCCCGCGTTGAAGCCTAATAAAATTATATGTCTCCCAGGATAATCCGCTTTTAAATCTTGTATCTTGCCTCTCGTTATCGAAAACATTTGGTCGACACAATTTGTAAGGGTCATTCTGTGGGCCGCAGAACCTACACAATTCAAAATAAAATTTAAAACAGAAACGTTACCCTAACGATATTTATAAATGTTGAACTAACGATTGCCCTAAAGTGTGACAGAGCCGTTTATAAATTTAATTACAGATTACTAGTATTTCGAGAAACTTTAATTTTAAAATTTTTTTCTAGTTAATACATAAATTAAATTATTCTTGTTACTAGGACTGCGAATTAATTTTCAGGGATTCACAATAGATGGCGTAACTTAAGGAGGTTTATCTAATTTGGAATTGACGAACAAATATTCATAAAAAAATTAATAAGTTTATTAATATGAAGAAAATCCTCAAAAAAAATTGTGAACAGTTTGGATATCTAAGAGACGAGATATTAATAAAATAATTTTTCACAATTTAGTACGAAGTCTTATGAGAATGCAGATTTTTTTGGTCTTTCCACTTAGAATGCGCAACAATTGACGAATAGTTTCCACAGCAACATGTATAAATAGGAAACCGATATCTAAGGATCCATATGATAGCTCATAGAAATCAATTAGGTACTTGTAACTAAACCTAACTTAACCTCCATATGCGTGATAGCGGCAACGCCGCGGTTCTCGACGTAGCGTATTATTTGAAATTCGCAGGTGTAACATATGATGTATATGTTACACCTGCAAAGTTCCAGAATGACCGAACACGAGCGAGCGAACACCGAGCCGAGCGCGCCAGCCAAGTGCAACGTTCCCAAATCTAAAGGCTTACTACATTAGTCATTAGCGAATCCACAGAAACTCTCATTTGACTTTAGATGTACCCGATAAACTTCCTTAAGTTTCTTCTGCAACTATATTCATGTAAAGGCTCTATCATTATGCTTTACTTTTTATTATTTGTCATTTTGCTGAAGTATAAACAACATATTTTGCGGGAAGTTGTACTTTTCTTGTTTAATTAAAGAAAAATGCTGCTGAAAGTCATCGAGTCATTGAAAACTTACGGTGAACATACTCCATCGATAAAAACATGTGAGTATTGGTTTCGACATTTTATAAGTGGTGACTTCGATACAGTTGACAAAGAACGCCCTGGTCAACCGAAAAAGTTCGAAGATGAGGAATTGGAAGCATTACTCGACCAAGATTCATGTCAAACGCAATAGGAACTTGCTGAATCTTTGAATGTTGATCGCACAATAGTTCCCAAACGTTTAAATGCACTCAGTACGACTCAAAAGCAAAGAAATTGGGTGCCATACGAACTGAAGTAGCGGGATGTTGAAGGGCAGATTTTCACGTGTCAAGAATTGCTTCAACGGCAAAAAAGAAAGGGTTTTTTGAATTGTATTGTGACTGGTGATGAAGAATGGATACACTATGATAATCCTAAGCACAGGAAATTGTAGGGTTTGCCTCAACATCGACGGGAAGGCCAAAAATTTATGGTTCGAAGCTTATGCTTTGTATTTGGTGGGAACAGCTTGGTGTTATGTACTATGAGCTACTTCAACCAAATGAAACCATCACGGGTGAACGCTACTGAACCGAACATAATTTGAGTCCTGCATTGAAGGAAAAATAGTAATCTTACGAAGATACGAAAAATTGGATCGATTAGTGGATCGCATCAAAAGATGAGTTATTCTTTTGACAGAGTTTGTAGGCTGTCAGAAAAATGGGAAAAAGTAGTGCCTAGCGATGAACAATACTTTGAAAAATAATAATGTACATAATTGTTCACCACAAAGCCTTGAATTTACAAAAAAAATCCCTCAAAATTAATTCAGTTCAAGTAATATCTGTACTCACCGAAATTTGTAGGAATGGTAACAACAGTTCCCAGGTGAGAGAAAAGTTTAATCCATTTATTGATTCTTTTTGACATAATAGGTGCTGCGGGTACTAAGATTATGACAGGATTGCCAGGAAGTTTTTTGGGTTTATCCTGCACTAAACTAGAGGCAACAGGGTCCCATGGTCGTTCTAATAGTGGATGGAGATTAGCATTATTTAATGCGCCAACACGTAAAGATGAATTAGGCGCGAACATCATCTTTTCAACAAAAGCTGGAAGTTTTGATTTTAAAGTCTGAAAGAAAAATTGTTTAAGAGTTTATCTGATTTTAAACAAGCAGTCTAAATTCATTAATAAATACCTGTAAGATATCCAAATAAGCAGCAAGGTAACTAGACTCTAGATTATCGATTAATACTTGATGTAGCCACTGAACAATTTTAGGATCCCAAGAAATTGTAACTAGTAAACGTCTCACCCTCTGGACAGCTTTGTCTATGACCGTTCGTCTTAACAACGGTTCATTATGAACACCAGTATAGGCAAGTTTACTTAAATTAAAGCTATTCAGTATATTTACTATGCCGTTAAATATTCTGTTTTGCGCCGGATTCCAATTGTTTCTAAAACATTTTAGATACATTAAGAATATCTCACAAATTTCTAAGAAATTATACTGTCTTTCTAAAAACTGCATTTATTAACCAAATTAGTATTATATCAAATGTCAAAAACAATGTAACAAACTATATAGTCTTTGTCAATATATGAAATTATTATTTACCGAGATATTTTATCTTCCCAGTACTCATCGACATCATCAACTCTGGCTGAGGAAGCATAATTTTCACATTCTTCCATTAAATTTTTTACTTTAGTCACGTCATAGATAGGAGGGGGTAATTCAACTACAGTTTCTACATCAACCACATCTTCAATGTCTTGTATGGGAGCTAAAGGATTAGATCGTTTACGTCTTCCACTGATTGGTTTAGATACAAATAATGTCTTTGTAGGACGTAGAAAACTTGTTTCTGGTCTCCAATTCCAAGGTCTTGCATAACAATGATCTGTAGATACTATCCAGTTTTCTCTTTCGTAAGGGTTCGTCATTTGTGTCGGATAAGTATATTTGGATACATCATCTACAACTATATGTTTATTAATTGTACTTTTTGCTGGTAGGGCAAAATCAAATATTTGCTGTTGTTCTTCTGTAGTTAATGACATTGCGTTGCAGCCTTTAATAAGCTAAAAGTAAAAAATATTAAAAACATAAACATAACCTAATATTTCTCGCTTACCTCGAGTGGTGAGTTTTGTAAGTTCTGTTCACATTCTTCAGTAATCGATTTTATATCATTTTCAACGTCTATTATTTCCTCGGACATGTTTGATGTTTGTTTCTTAATAGGTACTACCTATTTTGTATAATTTGTGGTACTCCCAAGGTCTGGAGGAAAACGGAAACAAATCCTTAAAAAGAACTAGTGATACAAAAATTCAAAGTGAAAATGACTTGATTGTTCGAATAGCGTGAAGCATTCGAATCTGTTTATTGTTTATGGTAATTCGAATTACAAATAATCGGTACTAATGATTGTTATATTTTTTGGTACTTAATTGAATTGACTCACAACCATAGACTTCATAAACATAAACTGTCTGGTGTCTATGGAATCATGGAACTATGCTATGCCATGCCAGAGACCACAGAATACATATTAGTAAAAGGTTTTACAGATCGGTAACCGCGCCATTATTCTATGGCTAGAAATTGGCCTCAATGATTTGGGATCGAGGGGGATTATCCCTCTTTATCCTGCCTCATCTCGTGTAGGCCTGGACAGCCTTCGTAGGTGGGCCCCATCCGTCGTCTACCCCGACCGCAAATGCGGCCGGTGTAGACGCTTTGTGGGACCTCCTTTTGTCCTGGCTGGGCCCCGCCGGCTAGGGCCCTTTCTTCTGGCGCTCTTCTTGCTTCGCCGGCTCGTCTGTGTAAACCCCGGGGGTAGTGTCATGTTTATGTGTGGTATGGTTGGGTAGGGTAGTGCGGCTATGCAGCCTGGGATGCGCTTTGCTAAGGTGGCCCTTAGGCTAGCGCGGGAGGGGAGGGGTAAGGAGGGTATGGGGGGTGTGTATGTGTGTGTGTGTGTGTCGTTGTCTTCGTTTCTTGATCCTGGCTGTCTCTGAAACAGAAAAAGTTAGCCGGCAGGGGGAGGGGGGGTCATTGGGGTGGTCACCCAGGGTCAAAAAGTTGGTGTCTAGGTCTTTTGTGTTTGTCGGTCACGTCGGGTACGTAGTCAACGGCTTGCCTGAGGAGGGGATTGTCATGTCTAGCGGCTACGTCAAATCGTTTCTCCGCGTTTTGTCTTATTGTCTGTGTAGCGTTTGTGTATTGTAAGTCTCGTAATATGTCAGTGTTTCTTACGTACCAGGGCGCGTCGGTGGCCGTGCGGAGGGCTATGTTTTCCACAGCCTGTAATGACTTTAAGTGGCTTTTTGCCGCGTGACCCCACGCCGTGGAGGCGTAGGTTAGCTGCGGTTGAAGTACCACCTTGATAAGCGTTCGCTTATTCCTTAAACTGAGGGTGTTTCCACCTTTGAGTAAGGGATAGAGCCTAGCCCTGGTGGTCTTCGCTCGCGCCACCGTCTCCACGATGTGCGGTTTCCACGTGAGACGCTGGTCCATCGTCACGCCCAGGTATCGTGTTTGTCGATTCCAGGAGATAGGTTCCTGGGATAGTGTCAGTCTGTCGAGGTTTTGTGGGATTTTTCGTTTGGTAAAAAGGATAGCCGAACTTTTGTTGGGATTAATTTTGACTTTCCACCTGTTGCACCAGGTTTCAAGTTGGTCTAAGGAGTTTTGGAGGAGGGAGACGGAATATCTAGGATCTACGGATTGGGATGTGATTGTCAGGTCGTCGGCGTATAAGTATATGTTGGTGTTGGGGGGATGTGGGATGTCGGAGTTGTAAATGGTGTATAGGTGTGGAGACAGGACGGTGCCCTGGGGGACACCGGCCTCCATGGGACGGGTGGTGGAAAGGGAATCTTGGATTTGGATGCGGAATTTTCGGTGGTGTAGGTAGGATTTTATGAGTTTGGTAAAGGATATGGGATATTGGTTGGTGAGCATTTTCATCAGTAGGCCTTCATGCCAAACCGTATCGAAGGCCTTTGCGACGTCCAGGAAGACAGCACCAGTGTACTGTCCCCTGTTGAAGGCCGCCGTGATGTGCTCGGTAAGGCGAAGGATTTGGAGTTCAGTGGAGTGATTGGGTCGGAAGGCGAACTGCTCGTCTGGAATGACTTGCAGTTCTTGGGAGTGGGTTCTTAGACGGGTTAGGATAATTTTTTCTACCACTTTGCTCATAGCCGGGAGCAGGCTAATGGGCCGGTAGTTGGATGGGATGGTGTGATCTTTGTTGGGTTTTGGGATAAGGATTATGTTTGCTGTTTTCCAGCGGGTAGGGAAGTGTCTTAGTCTGAGTGTCGCGTTTGTTATGTGGTAGTCGTTTAAGTGTCGTGTTATGTATATTGTCGGGTCCGGGGGCTTTTCTGTTTTTAAGTCTGCGTATTGTCAGTCTTAGTTCGTCAGGGGTTGCGGGGGGAATTATGTCATTGTCTGGCTCTCTGTCGACGCGTCGGGCCGCGCGCTCAGCCACTATCTCGAATTCCTCGTCTTCGTCGGGCAGCTGAGGCAGTCTACACTGCAGTTCCAAGATCGGTAACCCTGTACTTCTGCCAATTAGCGTTATAGCAGCGCCTCTTTTGACACGTTTCCGTACTTTAAAGAAATAAATAATGGCGCACTAGTTGTATACCTACTTTAAAATCCATGTTATTTTTTTTAATATACAGGTTGTTCCCATTTATAGATATAAAAGCAATTAACATAATAAGTAAAAAAATATGGTAGACATTTTTTTCTAAAAAGTCCTCGAAAAGAAATATATTTGAAATATAAGTTTTCTCAAACTGGTATATGCGATTTTTAAATAATTTTGGTAAGAAGTATAAACTTTTCATGTAAAAGTATATACTGTCTCGTTTTTTGACTTCATTTACAAATAATGTGACCGTCGAGCATATGCAACCAAAAATTCATGGTTGGTAATATCAACTGAAAATCCCTAATCTCAATGCAGTGGTTGATGGGGTTATACATGTAATTAAATAAAATTGTTTTTAAAATTGATAGACATTAATTATAATTATATTATCAATATGAAACTTAATACATATAATTTAGTATTAGATATACTTCCAAAACATACTTTTGCTTTTCATTGAAATGCTTTTAACTTCATTAAAAGGAGAAAGCAAAAAGAGCATGATGTGAACTTATAACAGTTTATTACGTTATTACCATAATATTTTATTTAAGTACAGAACAAAATAAACATACCTAGACTGTTTACTTTTTATTAAAATAGCATTACGAAAAAGTTACCATTAATTTACAAACCATTGCTCTTCGCTGCAATATAAAATACATTCACTCATAAATTGGCAAGCTATATTGCCATATTTGCGATAAAAACATTACATATGATGTTCAAAATGATGCTCTTGCCACTGCACAAATTTACTTTCCTGTGCATATTTTTATACACTTTTTGTAGTTATTGTTCTGTTAGTAAGTATATTGTTAATTTCTCGGTTAATTGATGTATCGAATTATTCGATGTTGTGGATTTCTCTTTTAAAAATGTTTTTCAGATATCCAAAGAAAAAATAAAGGAGTTAGATCCAATGACCTCATCTTTCAACATTTACAGTTTCATAGAAAAATATCGGCCCTTTTCTTGACATCACTATCCAAACGCCTACTTTTGAGGGATGTAAACCTACAAATGTATGAGGAATAATATCTGACATCAGGGACAAACCAAACAAGTCCAACAAATTATTATTCATGTTTTCTATACAGGGTGATCCGTAATGGTCGGGCCATAGAGTAAATGACTTCTCTCAAACCAAGTCTTTACTCATTTGGTCTTTCTTTGCTTTTTCATTTTCCTCGCTATTGAGACAGAGTGACGATTAAACACAAGTCATTATGTCGAATTGTACCCGTGATGGAAGCACTCACTATAGGATACTGAAGCTAATGGAACAGCGTGTCACTAAATTTTCATTTCAGGCCTGCTCCCGCGTAACTATGCGTCAGTTTTGTATCAACGTGCGTACTGAGGTGTTATTTATATATATTTACTTGACAACCAAAACGGAAAATCTTGGAGGCACGTCGCCAGACGTAAGATGCTAAATTTACAAGCAGTAAATATCAGCAAATGACGTCGTGGTTAGCAAAGACATTCAAGAATTACAAGTCACAAGATTAGTTTTAGTACTAATCAATCTCTCGTCCCGAATCCTTATAATTTGTCAAGGAAATAAGGCACTGAATTAATTAACAGTGTGATAAAGTGAAGTACAATATAGTTTCACCGTGAATAATTTATATAATGTTTATTTTTATCGTAATTAACTTATTGTTACATAAAATACATGGTGCTCCAACTGAATTTATAAATAATGAAAATTTACTGACAAAAGAAGTGTTTTACGGTGAATCGGTACTATTGAAGTGTAAAAGCAATGTGGATAAATACAATTTTGAATTTTGGTTGTTTGACAAAAGAAAAATTGTAATAGGCCCATCAAATTTACATGACAGGTTGAAATATAGATACGAAATTTTAACAGGAAATCTGATAGTAAGGGTGGGTATTTATGACGTGTTTTATAATTTTTTAACAAATCATGAAGTACAATTAATTCTAACATTACCAAAAAATCGGTTCTATTAATAGTAGTAATAATTATAGTACTTATTATAATGATTAGCCTGCTTAGCTTTAATTTGTTATACGAAAATATTAATTTATAAAAATTGTGATATTCGATTATTATTATCTTAATATTCTCTACATTTACTGAAAATATTTTAATACTTGTTTCTAGTACTAGTGATATGTAGACTGTGCAGCGGTTGAGCTGTACATACATGTAGAATTTAATGTTCCAATATGTATTTTATTGACGAATTCTATACTGCAGAAAATTATATATGTTCAGATCAGACCGGGAATGCTTTGGTTTTGAAATAATGTTTACGCTTTCGTAACTGTTTGCATAGTTTGTGCAATATAGGCTTGCTAACACTGTAGACTTAGAAATGGAACATTGAATAAGTTCTCTCTGTTTTCCAATAGATAGCGTTATCAGAACTGGAAGCGTGTGGTTGAAGATGGTAACGCACCTATAAAGAAGTACCATATAAGCAAACTTGAAATTCAGTGCCAATTCTAAAGAAATCTTTCTTTTGTGGCTTGCGGTGACCATGCTCTGTCGCAAATAACATACAGGGATTGGTTTAGAACGCGTCAAAAATAATCATTTTAATATTAAAGATAGAGAACGCTCTGAGACACCAAAACAGTTTGAAGATTTGGAGGCATTACTTCATGAAGACTCATGTCAGACGTTAACTGAACTGAATGATTGTGCGCCGTATGAGTTGAATCCGAGAGATGGCAAATGGAGTTTTTGCATGTGTGAACAGCTGCTTCAACAGCAGAAAAAGAAATGTTTTTTGCATCATATGGCAATGAAATATGCATATCTACGAAAATTCTAAACGTAAAAAATCGTGGGGCAAGCTCGGCCATGAGTCAACATCATCGACAAAGACGAATATATACATGGTTTCAAATTTCTGCTCTGCATTTGGTGGGATCAGATGGGTGTAGTTTATGAAACCATCGCAGGAGATCGCTATCGACTACAATTGATGCGTTTGAGCCGAACATTTAAGGAAAAACGGCTGCTGTACGAGCAGAGACACGACAAAGTGAGTTTGCAGTATGATAAAGCTACTTGGAAACGCTTAAATTGGAAGTCCTACTTCACCCGCCATATTCACCACACATTGCCCCACTTCCATTCCTATGAAGATGCTAGAAACTGGGTAGTCTCTTGGATAGCCTCAAAAGACATGTCCTTTTTCCGATGTGGAATTAAAATACACCTAGAAAGATGGGGAACAGTAGTGGCTAGCGATGGACAATACTTCCAGTGACATGTCTTTTACTATTTTTTTTAAATAAAGCATTAATTTTCACGAAAATACAGCGAGAACTCATTCAACAACCCACTAATTAATATAAAATATCTGTTATGCTTCAGGACATGCACAAAAACATTTGCTAAAAGGAATACAGTGGAAAAGAGTAGGTACTGAATGAAAAAAAGTTTTTCGTAATAATTGGTTCTAAGTAACATTCTTACAGTCTTAATTAATAAAATACAATAATTTTATGAAAAAGAAATATATGTTTCTGGTGTCACATTTGTTTAACAATTTTAATATTTTTTATTATTGAAAATGCTTCTTATTGACGCACTATACTTACAATTAAATTAATCCTCTTCTAAAACATCTCAGATGTATGAAAAATCTTTTGAAATAATTCCAGAACAAAATTTGCACAATCTACGAGTATATGCACGAGGTAATTGTATTCTCAAACAAATTTTCCAAAGAATATAAAATATATTTCGAAATCTGTAAGAATTGGTACCTCTATAGCCATTGTTACTCAATGTCTCAGTTTTTAAGTGATCAAACTGGCAGAGAGCGACCTGCTATTGCACAGGTACTATGAAAGCAAGCTTGTGTTTGCTAGATATTGAGTGTATACACTCAATATAATATAATTGAATTATATTTCAATGCTGGTCGGGGCATTAGTCCGCAGAGTACTTGTTTCTCGCAATATCAATTTAAATTACTAAGAATTATTAGCAGAATTTTGCAAGTAGGTACAGGAACTACTGAATCAAATTTTGTAAACTATCGCCATCCGATTTTAAATATTAAAAAATATGTAAATTTTTTATCTCTACGTCTCGGGAAGGGGTCAGGGTTTATATGTATTATTTGCTTATTTTAACATGAGTAATGACCCTTTAAAGACTGGTTAATGGTTAACGGAATAGGGTACTCTATATTGTTAAGATATTCATAGAGGTATAAAAGGATTGTAATGTTTTTTTTTTCAGGCTGTAACGAAAAATGACGAAGGGCTTTATAGCTGCGTATCAAAAGAAGTTCATGGAGGAAATATGAAGGTGGAGAACGTTAAAATAGTTATTTTGCAGAACTGGGAACAAATTGATGAGCATGCTTCAAGTGTAAGTATTTTTATTTATTTCTTTATTTTAGACTTATAAGCCGACAGATGTCCTTTGTTTCTCCAAACTATAATTTTATCACCTTCACAATAACGATTCAATACCTAACCATTTTACATTGCCTTATTTATACCCTTTCTAAGGAATAGTCAGCCCAAATGTCTTAAAATTCTCCTTAGAGATTCCAGGAGGTTAGATCTGATAAGAACTGTGAATTTACACTTCTTAACCTTATCTTTGCTTCCCCTCTTCAGGAAGAAGACAGATCAAGATGCTCTATCACACCCCCTACAGATTCGAAAAGTAGATAAATTGGTATATATCCACCGTCCTTCCCTTGGTTCAGAAAATACTTTCTGAACTATTAAACTTTAACCATTATGTTACTTAAACTTAACATGAAAGAATAAAGTCAATCACATTTTATAATTAGTAGGTATCACTCATTAGTATCACTAACACTTATCGCGTGCAAGTTAAATGGAATATTAAACGATCTTGATCGATATGTAAAAATAATTTTTATAAACTAACTAATAATTTTGGTACAAAAATTGATGAAACGATATTTATTTTTCAGATAAACGTGATCAGGATATTAGTTGCCTCAATTGTCCTGGTTTTGTTAGGGGCAGGAGCGTATGTTTTATACAGTATATGGAGAGATCGATATAGATATCCCAGATATCTAGGTAGGTATTTACTCAATATGGGTCATCCTTTTAATTATCGTTTTATATCTTGGGTTCCGCAAGTTTTTTGTAACTGTAGAGGTGGATTTGGGGTACTACAAAGAGATAAAATCCACTGGTATTAGGTTCTAAAACCCAAACCTGAAATTTTGGCGCGAATATAAAGTTTTGAAAAGAAAGAAAAGGTGATTTTGAATTAATTTTCCTACATAACAATAAATTGTCGATAAAATTATTTAAAATATAATTTTCAATGTCCGAAAATGTTAACAGTGTGAGAAAGACGCATAGTTTTGAAAAAAAAATCGATATTTCACCCCCTTCTCCTACTTTTATTTAGGAATGGATGACACCATTCGATTCTTTGCAGCTTTTTACATACAGTTTCATCATAAAAACTAGGTGTTTACACAAAGGCACGGTATCGAATTAAACGTGATCCGCCTTGTCAGCTCTTGTTGTTGGATAATTATTTTTTTATTGTCGAAAAGAAAATCCAAAATATATATTTTCTCTGGAAGAAAGCTCTGACATTCAAAAAAATATATTTTCAAAGGCTGACAATGCCAGTAAGTGTAACTATTTTGAGGAAAATTGATATTTCATATTCCTCAACTAGTACTCTATTTTTATAACAAAATTTTATGTAAAAAACTGCAAGGAATAGAATTCTGCCATTCATTTTTAAGTAAAAATTGGAGAAGAGCACGATTTTCTTCTTTTTCCACAAAAAATTGATTTCTTTTCGATAATTTATTGTTGTGTAGGAATATTAATTCGAAATCACCCTTTCTTTCTTTTCAAAACTTTATATTTGGGGTTTAGAACCTAAAACCAGTTGATTTTACCTTCTTGTAGTACCCTAAATCGACCTTAATGTTGAAAAAAAATTGCGTAACTGTGGGATAGAATAAATTAAAAAGAATCACCGATATATAGGGTGTATTATAATTAATAGTGCAAACTGAAACAGAAGAAAAAAAAGTCTTAGTAAATAAACGCACTGTTTTCGAGATATAGGGTGTCAAAAGAAATAATTTTTTTCAGTGTTTTGACTATATCTCAGGAACCGTTTGAGATACGAATCTCAAATTTTGTACAAGTATATTATCATTAACATTAGCTAGTTTTGAGCGCTAATTAAATTTTTATTCATATGACAGTGGCGGAGATTTTAGGATCGCGTGAGGTTCTTTTGCCCCTAGCTTTTACGACTCTGAAAAAATTGGCATTTTGAAAGCTTATTTTAAACTGCCAATGTTTTCTATAGGTACAAGAAAAGTATCATTAAAAGCTCTAACACAAACTGTTTTCAAGATAAATGATGTTTTATGATGGAAAACATGAAAGAAAGTGGCAATATGATAAAAAAATATTATTTATATTATTAATATTTCAAAACTAAGCAAATAAATAACAAAAATCACAACAGTTGTTGAAAACGGCCTTATCTTATGGTAATGAAGGCTTCCAACTTAAGATCACAATAATAGTTTTAGTTGAATGCATCTATTAAATTCTGTTATTTTATATCCACTACTTTTGGGGAATGAGTTTAACTTTGAAATAATCCCCAAGAACATCCTAGGAAAACGCATTACATACAATTTAGATTTATTTTTATTTATTTTTCAGAACAATCGGAAGATGAAGATGAGGATGAAGATAGCGCAGAAGAAATATTTACTGCTCCCAGTACTTCAGCGGCGTCGCAAAGCAGAAACAAACCAGAGAAAAAAACGTCTTTCGACAATATCAGTACCGACTTTACAAGTATTTTGGATGCGTCTAATGATAGTTAATATGTTTTGTTTACACATACACCTCGGCTTGTCTCATTGAAAAAATGTTTTTATTGAGCATTACACTGTTTTTTTTTGTAAAACTAATAGTTTTGGTGAATTTTTACAACACTTTTTGTACTCTTTATTTGGTTGATTATTTCTGCCACATCGAAACGGAAAATAATTGATAAACACTGGGAAAATAGATAACAATTCTTTACGACTATACAATCACTTAAACGCACAGTTATATAACATGTATATTGGATAATTTTTTAAAACACCCTGTATGTAAAAATTTTGAACCCATATGTATAGAGATGCTGTGATATTCCGTTGAATGTATCAAATTTGGAATTATCGTTTTAATAATTTTCAATCTATTACAGAAAGTTTCGTTCTATTTTCTTTGTGAGTAAATAAAGTTCAGTTCTGATTTGCTGCTACTATAACTGACGTTATCTACCTATTTGAAATTGTTAAATCTAACGGAGATTCAGGTTCAATATTATTTTTAATAATTTTGAGAGGTGTAAATTTAGTAGCCAAAGTGTATAATGTAATTATGTAAGTATTACGTGGGTTGTTGTAAGTAGATAGATTTGAATGATTATTATTGATTATTCATAAGTTAATTGTTTTTACTACTTTTTACCTTTTTATTTGTTTTAAACATGTACTGATTGTTTTGATTTGTTATTCGTACTTATTGTTTTTGCAGTAACTACTCACGAAACTTAAGGTAGTCATATTTTGATAAAGAAGCGTGAGATCCATATTGTTTTTCAAATAGTGATGTCGATAAGGGTTGCACATGTGTTTGTAAATCATAGTACATTTTCATTTTTCTTAAAATTACAGCGTCTTGAAAGTTAAAATAGAATATTAATATCAAATTAAAATTAAAATATATATTTTGTAAATGTAGATCTCAGGATGGGCCATCCCTATTTTAATTTTTTATTTCGCAAATTTCGTTCGAAATTTATTCATTCTATAGTGCGCTTAAAAATGATCTCGTAAAACAATAGTGTAATTCCCAGGCTTTATTATTAAAATATAACCACTTTAATTTTCACGAACTATTGCTGATTTTTTGTTACTGTTTGTAATTTATAATGTGACTTGTCTATCTAATCTGATTTAGTTTAAAATAAATAAAAAACAAAAAAAACATTATGAACTCCCTAAATACACATTGTATTGTTTGAAGTTATTTAATGTCAGTGGCGGCTCCTGAATTCCTTCAGAGAGGGTGTGGTGGAGTATTGAAATAAAAATACAAATATAATTGGGTAGTTTTATTTGCAATATTTTCCCTATTTTGAAATATAGGGAAAATATACTCATTATTTTTTTTGAGAAAGTCCATTTTTCTGCTTTTGACCGAAATAATAATAATAATAATAATAATAATAATAATAATAATAATTATAATGATAATGATAATGATAATGATAATGATAATGATAATGATAATGATAATGATAATGATAATATAATAATAATAATAATAATAATAATAATAATAATAATAATAATAATAATAATAATAATAATAATAATAATAATAATAATAATAATAATTAATCCTTTGAGACATAAAAATGTATAGGTAATAAATAAACTTTTCAATTACTTTTTCATTAAAGTTTGGTAATTCTCGCATTATTGATTTTTCAGTAGATAGCATTGCAAGTGCTACAATCAATTTAAACTTCTACAATTTAAAAGAAAAACACACAAGAAACGATATGTAAGTAACAAAATTTTACATCACACCCGAACAAATTACGTATATTAAGAAAAAAATAGCGGTGAATAGCTATTATTTGGTTATGGTCGGACTAAACAGAGCACAAACTGCAAAGTAAATATGCGCTACCTCCACTCCGTATTTCATTGCCTGCGCGACGGTAACCATTACCACCGTTGTAAACACTTTACAGATGTTGCTTCGAGGTGCGAGAGTTTTGCAAACCAATTTTGCAAGCTGAGTAGATAACATTGTAAACTAAATTTTAAATTAAATAATTTATTATGAAAATTGATAGGGGGGCGGTGCCCCAGAGCTCCCCTTAACAACAGCCACTGTTTAATATAATATTTTATCAAATAATTTTCGTGCCCTTGGAGTAGTGTAATAATAATGTATAAATCGGAATAGGGAAATAATAATAATAATGATTATGACTATAGCAACCTTTCGATTTTATGTCAAATCTTCTTCAGGGCTATAAACTTTATTATTATTTACAGCCCTGAGGAAGATTAACAATCGAAACGCTGGTTTAGTCAGAAAATCAAAACCCGTATCTCATATTCTGATTATACATTCTTATTCTAATATTTCATGTAACAGAAAAATTTTAAAATTCGTAACCTAAATATCAAGTTATTTCATGTTCTATTCCAGAATGTGATATAAATATCAAAATTCACATAAAACGCAAGTGGTTGATAAGTATACAATCTATAATTTTAAAACTTTTGTTCTATTTATATTAAATACGTTGAAATAAATACATATATTTAAATGTGACTTCATCATAAAACTAGGTTGTTCCATATTTGTGACAAGTATTGTATTTGTATTTATTAATTAATTCGTGGATCGTATTGGACCAATAAAATACTTTTGACAATACAAGTTTCGCTTTATTTATTCCCTTGTGAGTAATTTTTGTTTCATGTTTCGATTTTTTTCTTACAATTTTCAACTTTTATTTAAATACATATATCCTTAGATATAAAGCGGAATAGTGAAAATGCTTTGAAATAAAGAAATAACATTGTTTTCACATTTTCTGTGATTAACATTGTAATGTTGACAGCATTGTTACTCGATACAAAATCGGGAAGTTCTATAAACTTCATAATGCAAATAGCACCAACAATGATTTTTTCTCTATTTTGACATATTTTTCACGTTCTTGTTCACAAAACAGACATCAGGTCATAGAACAAATTACTCTAAGCTCTAGCCAAATGTTTTATATGAACTGCGTAGTAGTTTATTTTATTTTTAAGATACAGATACAGGGTTGAAGTTAGCAAATACATCACATTTTATATTTAACGTAGATTGATGAAACTTGGGTCACTGATTTATCTAAGTAGGTGAAATAAAAACCCGCTAAATTGATTTAACAGTATGTCAACCAGTGGCTTTTTATTATACATGGAATTTCTAAAATAATGTCGTTTATATTTTATTAGCAGAACATTTAGTTTTAGGCTTCTGATTTTTTTTTATATTAAAATGAGCCTACAATACAATTAAGTTCATCGGTAATATTGTTAGAAATATAATTTTAAATACAACGTAATATATGAAAAAATTATTGGCACATAATTTTTTTAGTATTTATACCTATCTTTAGAAAAGTAAAAATTTTATGTCAATGATTTTTTTACTAAGAACTGACATGTAACGTTGTATTTAATATGGCATTTTTAACAAAACATTCCCTTTAACTGCTTTTGTGGGATTTACTGTTTTACAACAGAGAAAGACACTATTCTCTAAACTGTAGCATTATCTGTTTGTATTTTCTACTTTATTGAAAATATTGAAAATAGGCAGACAATAAAACACACTGAAAAGTTAAGCTTGGTTCAGCTTCTCAAAAAAAAAACGGAAAAAATCAGTTTGGAATTGACTAATCAAACCTCCCAAAAAAGATGATGCCGAAAGAAGCTACCACGTGCTATGTCTGTTCAGAAAATAACCGAAACAGGAAAGCACATCAGTCTCGATCCATTGTCAAAGTGATGCTCACTGTTTTTTTGACTTTATAATGGAATTGTGCATTTTGAATTCTTGCCTCAAGGTGAAAGAGCGAACTATCAATCCGTTTTACAACAGTTACGTGAGAGAATCCGCAAAAAGAGAACAGTGTTGTGGCAAGACAACTCATGGTTCTCGATTCTTGCACCATGACAAGATGCCCGCACACTCAGCTTTGTCAATTTGTCAGTTTTGTGGCAAAAATCAGATTACTGTCCTGCCTCACCCTCCTTACTCGCCAGACTAGGCTCCTTGTGACTTTGTCTTATTTCCGGAATTAACATTAGTGCTGAAAGGACGCCGTTTCCAAGACTATTCATGACATCAAAGCAAATTCCTTACAGACTTTACGCAATTTCAAACACCGCTGGGAAAAGTGAGTGAATAAGGGAAAGGAGGACCTGAAGGAGACAAAGACCAATGGTGTATAAAATTAATAGTAAAATTAAAAAAATAATAATTCGTCAACAACTGGTCCTTTTTTCTTTATTTAGAAGATTTGCCTAACAAAAAAAAAATAGACACGTACAAAATAACAAACTACTCATCACTATCTCTCAAACATTTCATAGTTATTTACGCCTCGAAAATAATCAGTCTGTTTTCGTCTTCCGAACTGATAGTAATTTTTCGTTTTTAAATATAAAACTATTCAAAAACAAAAAGTTATTATCAGTTCAAAAGACGAAAACACTGATTATTTTCGAGACGTAAATAACTTTTTAAAGTGTACGATATATAGGAATGGGTATTCTGTTCCTTGAGCTGCTTTCATCACTGCTAGATTTTGTTTATGCAATACTAATTTTATTAAAATAACTTTCGACTGATCCTTTTGGATCAAGGGTTTATTTTTTTATTCGTTTTTTAAATATTTTTCGCAGGCGGAAAAGAACCCATTAAATGAAAAAAAAAAGACTAAAACTGTACCACAAATAAGTAACTTCAGACAACCAGTCCTATAACTAAATTACATAAATTATGGGTGTGCCAAAATTCACGCAAGATTTGAATTTAGCGCCATTTGTGCGCTACACGAAACAACAACGCGTTTCATTAAAATAATGGGGGTTTGGCAGCTACAGTTCCCAAATTTCGAAAAAAGTATGGTCGGAATAGTGATTTAATTTCATCAACTGTGAAGAGATTAACTGAAAAAATCGGGAACACTGGATCAATTAGTGATATTAAACACTCTGACCGTCCTTCAACAACTCATTCAACACAAAACATCGAAGCAGTTCGTGAGAATGTTGCTGAGAGTCCAGGATTATCGATTCTGCATTGTGGTCAATTATTGGACATTTGGAGAAGCTCTCTACAGCGTATTCTCATGAAAGATTTGCATCTTCACGCTTACAAAGATCAGTTGACTCAATAACTGAAGCTTGCTGACCATGCAGAGTGAAGAGAGCTCGTTGAATAGATTATGGAACAAGTAACAAAATCATCTTAGACAAAATTGTCGCATTTGGGGTTTAGATAATCCACTAGCGATTGATGAGAAACTAATGCAATCACGTCATGTCGCTGTTGGGTGCGGATATTCGATTGAAGGCATCATCGGATCATTCTTTTTCAAAAATGCGACATGATAATCCAGTTTTTTGTGCCTAAGTTGCAGGAAATAGATGTAAATTATGGTTTTCGTTGGGTTTTTATGATGTTTAAGGTTTATGCCAACAAGTTCAGGACCACCCACGATTTGAAGGAGAAAATTGAGCGCGAAAACAGTCATGGAAAATTTCGACAAAAGAGTGCGTATGTGCCAGCAAATCCGCAAAGGTCGTTTACCCGATATGCTATTCTATATATAACCTAACCCTACACTATACACTTTATGAATCACTAAAAAATTATAATTTTTAATGTATTTTCTATCTATTACTTCTTGCGTGAATTTTGGGACATTCTTTATTACCTAAATCATAAAACAAGTAGGTAATCAAAGAGGTGAGTATAATTCTTATAAATCCAAAAATTATTTACAATCATGTGACGCTTTTGAGGTATAAATATGGTCTAATGTAAAATTTAACAATTCTTATAATTTTTGACGAAATTTCAGTAAAAAATTTATTTTACTGAAAGGAAACAATAATAGAACTAGTATATGATTATAGCAATATGAATTAATTTAGAATTCAATCTTGTAAAATATATTACGTCGCTAAAAAGAGATGGCAATATTTAATAACTCTAGAATTTAGATTTTCGTTACTTAAATATTAGTCATCTACAGGTTGAGATTCGTGAATCCAGGTTCGTCCACCTCCTTCAGAAAAATCGGCCGCGGCGTGATCTACACCATTTAATATCCATTTTGTAGTCAAAAGCCCTTCTACACCCACAGGGCCACGAGCATGTATTCTAGATGTACTAATCCCTACTTCCGCACCTAATCCAAATCTAAAACCGTCTGCAAATCTCGAGCTCGCGTTGTGGAAAACGCACGCGCTGTCCACTTTTCTTTGGAATGTTTCTGCTCTTTCACCTAAAACAAAATCATCTTGTGTATCCCAAAAACAAAAAATTAGGCATAGGAAAGAATGTCGTATTTTTGAAGTTCTGTCGCTTTTTACTTTTGCTCTTATTTTCCAAACATATTGTATATTTTTCGAGACAAATATTGCACGTGCTGAAACAGCTAGTATCATATCCGCAATGTCAAGTACCTGGCTAAGATTTTATAAGTTATATCTCACCCACACTCACACGTGTCGGTAGGTTTAAGTGATTTACACAAAAATTACTTACTGTTTTCTGTGACGATGACATCTGTATGGCTACTTCCGTAGGTATGAATGTGTTTAATAGCTTCATCGATATTTTTAACCACTTCGATACAACACTCCAAAGAACCATACTCATATTTCATTGTTTTAGCTAATGGTGGCCCAAACGTTAATAGCTGATGTAGTAGCGGGCCTGCGTTGATGACAACACCTTCTTTCTTCAGCATATTACATATTTCAGAGAAAAACGGCCCATCCATGAGTTCCTCGTGAATTAGAAGTGTTTCCATAGCGTTGCACGCCGCTGGATAATCGCATTTTGAATCTCGGACGATTTTTAAAGCTTTCTGCAGATCTGCGTCTTTATCTACATACACATGACATATTCCTGAAAAAAAAATACAATGTACCAAAATCCGTGAAACAATACGCTATGTAAAACTTCATATATTGCAGTCAATAACCTAAACACTTTTGTCGAGTTTCATTTTGGTCTGATCGGCCAACTTGGAGTCATTTTTCGCAGTATATCTTTATCATCCTGCACATTTTTTATTTAGCGTTTTCGGACCTATTTGTTTCCTTAAAATGACATTTCCTCTTTCCTAGTTCAGCTAGATATGAGTTTTAGAATAATTATTAAATAATAGAAACGTAAGATATACCTTCAGCGTGTCCAAGTACAGGTATATGTTGAGACTGGGTTTGAATTGTGCGAACTAGATCACTTGAACCACGTGGTATTATAAGATCGATGTGTTGTTCCATTGAGAGCAAATCTCCGATTTCTTCTCTAGTAGATACCTGCAAATGGACACTCATTCGTCAGTAAATGATGGAAGTTTAAAATTTAAAGACTTTGAGATATGGCTCTGACATAAAGATTGGTTGCATCAAGATAAATTATAAAACCCCTCCCATCATAACCACAAACAAAGTAAGTTACATCAGTCTTAGGCAACATAGTACCCCAATTCAGAGCTGTGATTTTGTAAATAAGAATTATAGTCTTCATCAAAAACATCTTGGCGTAGGACAAGACTTTTTTAAAAGGCTACTCCTGGTCACTGACTGCTGACTTAGAAGTTAAGATGGTGGAAGTTAATACGGTGATTGGAACGTTTGAGTGGACAGATAAACCTTATTTTTTTGTTCAATAAAACTGTTTACTTATTAATGTTAAAATGACTCACCAAGGAAATAGCGTTCTTAGCACCAATAGTCGTTAACGATTCATCAACAAGTTCCATGAGGGCCTTATTACTGTAAAAAGCTTCTTTACCGCCTTTGAGCAAAAGTCCATTACCAGAAGCGATTGCTAAAGCTGCTACTTGCGGCAACGAATCCGGCCTAGATTCAAATATAACCAAAAGGACACCAATTGGCACGGTGATTTGCTTTAATTCTAAACCATCAGATAATTTGGTTCTCTTTAGAACCCTGCCAACATTTTTGTGACTTGAATTAGCTATTTGATGGAGACCAACGGCAAGGCCTTTGAGTTTGGAAGGTGTTAATGACAATCTGGATAACAAAGACTTTGCCAGTCCCGATTTAGTAGCTTCTTGTAAATCTTTCTGATTAGCGTCCAGTATTTCACTCTGCTTTGAGATTAGAAGATCCGCTAACGTGTGAATACATGAAGCTCTCTGGTCGGAAGTAATTGTTGCTAGAATGCGACCTCCGGATCGCGCTGAAACAGTACACGAGTACAAAATAAAAATCTGTTACATTGTACGGGGTATCTCAAACTAGATAACATGGGCCTACTGTGAGGATACAAAGAATTTAAATAAAATTTGCGACACATGGTGTTAAATGGGATGAATTAAACTCCATTTTCAATCGAAAGTAAACTATTATCTTTGGTATTTGACAGAAACGTCATCAATTATATTTTTTCCAGAAACATACCCAATTTTTCTTTCCAACGACTACTTGATCCACCCACCGTGGGACGCGTGGTAATTTATTTGTTAGTCCTCGGAACGGATGGTCCAAAAAATAAAATATTTCAGTCAACACTAATTTTATCGAAAAGTTAAGAATCTTCAAGTAGGTTTAACGTCGCCACAAGGCCGTCCTTCGTAGAAGGTCTCATGAAATTTAGTAATATTTTTTAACAAGTTCACTTAGACCGTCGGGGCCATGTGTTGAGCATCTGGTATAAAGAGAAACTCGATATTTCTAATAACGCGCCAAATGCATTCAAAAGAACGTAGAAATTCCGATATATTTAAATAAGTTGTTAGATTGTGGTGAGGAAAATAATAATAGGTCAAATAGCTGGTTTTTAGGCGGATTTTCCAAGCTATAAGAATAGATTAAATAAGATTGACTAATCCGTCCCGTATTGCTACACGGTGTCACTAGAGGAAGGCTAGGGTTACTTGTTAAGTCCAGTTAGTCACAGAATTATTTATATAAATGTAAATTATAAATGTAAATTCAGTCCATTAGACAACTATTAACATGGCACAGTTATGCTAAAGCGTCCCGATATTCAGAGTTCCCACCAGTAAGATAAGGACGTAAACGTCTGGACCCAAGAAATGGGCGTATCGAAGCGAGGTGTCGAATTCAGGAGAGATCTCCGAAAAACAGACAGTTCTTCCTTGGGTTCTACATTGAGCAGTCTACTTAGTTTTAGAGTTTTGGGTTAATTTAATAATGGATGAAGTCATTCCAAATTTTGCTATGGTTTGCGCATTCCCTGAATCTCGATACGCTGTCGCGTGTTAATAAATTAATAATGTTTTTCGAGCCCGTTGTGTCGTTATTTTGTTTGTTTGTTTGTTTGTTTGTTTTGTTTTTATTGTTAATAAAACCCTTCCTGGAAGGTTTTGGTGTTTTCTTGTTCTTCCAACTTAAGTGTTACCCTATACAACCAACCACTGGTCATAGCGGTAGATAGTTAAATAAGAAATAACCCCTCAAGTTACAATACTATCGAGTTTGAGATACCTTCTACATATTTAAAGGGTCGCTGATATATATGGAAATGGTTGATTGTCTTCTAAAGCAACATAGGTATCGAAAAATTATAAATCACAAACGTTTTCCGATTTTTAAAAATCTATTACAATAAAGAAAAAATAAGTATACAGGATCAGTCAAAAAGTCATGACGAAATAAAGTTGCTTTTTCTTTAATGGAACATCCTGTATATTATTCCATATTTCAATTATTCTAGAAATTCTAAACAAAATTCATAGTGCTTATCATGTACCTAAACTTAACCGTTTTCGAGATATCGAACTTTTTACTAATCTCAAATTTATAAAAGAAAAAGGGCCCCAAAATATGTATATTTATTTTGAAAATAACACAACGTGGAGGCTATGGATATGATTTAATTTTATTATTAGATTTTTACAGAAAATAAAAAAGCCCAAAAAAAATGTGTCTTATTAGTCCAGTCGGTATCTGTTACGGGATGGATATTTTTTATAGTAACGCTAATTTTTGTTGGGAATAGTTCTAAATATTATGTAGAAAAATAATTACAATATGCGCCCGCCGAAAGAAAAAAAGGGCGCATTTTTCCCTTCTTTCATGTATAACTCGGAGAATATTGACATTAGAGAAAATAGTCACAGAAAAAAAGTTTCGTTTTGAGATTCTCTTTAAAATGAAAGTCTGAAATTTTTATGTGCATTATTGTTCTTCAATACAGTATACAGAAAAAAAATTCGTGAAAAAAGATCGTTTTTTCATGACTTTATTTAGGACCTTGACTTTAGAGCAGCCATATAAAAAATATGATTCTGAGTACTTCATGATATGGTAGTCTTGCAGAAATTTTTTCATCGAAATCGGCAGGGTAGATTTTGCACAATTCAATTGTTAATTAAGAAACTACAGAATTATACTTATTTTTCAATTCTCTCTCACGGTAAAACCAATAATTATTTTGAGCTCCCAATTTTTATACATACACCTTGGAGTCTCAACTATCAGTCCCCATTTAGAAATTTTCGATTTTATCCATTTTATCAACAATTAGAATTTTTCGAAAAAATACTTATAAACATCTAGAGCTGGAGCTACCGTATTTGCATATTCTTCAAATGCAATGATAGGATCCAATAGAGGAAGGATTGACCAACAAAATCCACTTTTGATCTTGTGGACACGATGAATCATCATCGAGATGTGAAAGCTCAGAGTTGAAGTGAGTTTACGGCAAAACAACGTACCGCACAATAACAATTAAAAGTCATTTTGATTGTTTGAGCAAATACTTTATAACTATGAAAATTTGTTTAAATCGGAAAATGTATTTTAATTGTTCTGATGCAAAAAAGATTGATACATTTCACAGGAATCGAACAGAGAGTGAGGAATGAGGGAATTATGCGAGTTTGATTTTGATTTAAAAAAAAGTTATCGCTCTTGGAGCAGCATAATTCACTCGGGCAACTTCAATCGACTTTTTGTCAGCTTCTACAACAGATAAATAGATGATTATTTAATATTATTAATGAATAGTGTTTCATATGAACAACCGTATTTGATCATTTATCAACGAAAACTATGTAGGTACCTAGTTTTTGAAAAATAGAGGCTTCTTTGTATTTTCTTTTTTAATTTGAAAATTAAAATGTTCTTTATTTTGCATATAAATTTAAAATGAAAGATTTTTTTAATTACACAGCCACACAAAAAAAAAGTTGGGTATACTTTTTTGCGACATATATTTTTCGTAGTAATTTGGCCTCCTAAACACGAATCTGGGATCAGAATTGGCCCATCACGTCACAATTTTTTCCAAACCTCAAAAAACTTGTGAAAAATAGTAAAAATTGATGAAAATTTACTGGGAAAATTTGGAAAAAATTTATTTCCACATCAAATAGTACATTTTTATGTAAAAGACTCTGCTGAATTCAAATCCACTGTCAGAATTGAGCTAGAACGTGTGGTTTTTTTTCTAA